AGGCTTGGCTGTAAAACATGGAATAGATGTAGGAGCCGGAGTAATAGACTCTGACTATGTCGGTCGAGTCAAAATACTCCTAATCAATACCCTTGATACCCCGTTCCAGATTGAGTATGGGGACCGAGTCGCCCAACTAATCCTGGAACGAAACGATACCCCGATTACCGAAGTCGTAACAGAAATAGCAGAAACAGCAAGAGGGACTGCTGGATTCGGATCGACAGGTACTAAACTGCGAGGACAATTCAACGTCCGAGCAGTACGACGACATCGCCAAATCGACATACCCGTAACAATAGAAGTTGGGGATAGGAATATACCCGCCAAAGCCCTTCTAGATTCAGGTTGCACCGGGTGCTGCATCGACGAACAATTCGTATCTAAGTTTCAGATACCAAAGATACCGTTCGATCGACCACTCCGCGTGTTCAACGCAGATGGGACCCCCAACCGAGATGGCGATATGACGCACTATGTACTATTAGATATAGTTATCCAAGGCCATAGAGAGCGCCGATCGTTCAATGTGACTACCCTATCGGACCACGATATGTTCCTCGGGTTCGATTGGTTAGAGGATCACAACCCTGACATTGACTGGGCTAAACGCACGCTTCGCTTCACGCGTTGTAACTGCGGGGAGCTTAAGTTAGAAGACGGGGATAAGGTGCTGGCATTGGACAGCGACTACATTCGGAAGCAGTTTTCCGAATACGAACATATACGAGCCACCAAGGCCACCGACCTAGCCATCGCTCAAGGCAAAAGTACTAAAGCCAAGAGTATGCAAGAGGTAGTTCCAGAAGAATACTGGGATTATAAGGAAGTCTTCGAGGAAGCTGAATTCGATCAGCTCCCTGAACGCAGAGTATGGGATCACGCTATAGAACTAATAGACGGCGCGAAACCTTTCTGCGGAAAGGTGTATCCAATGAGCGTAAAAGAACAAGAAGCTCTGGATACATTCCTCGAAGAAAACCTTAAGACTGGTCGTATACGACAGTCCAAATCCCCCTGGGGCGCCCCCTTCTTCTTTGTCAAGAAAAAGGATGGCAAGTTAAGGCCGGTTCAGGACTATAGACGGCTCAATGAAGTCACAAAGAAAAATAAATACCCGCTCCCTCTAATCAATGACTTATTCGACCGGCTTAAGGGAGCCCGGTACTACTCTAAGCTCGATATCCGGTGGGGCTATAATAACATACGAATCAAGGAAGGAGATGAGGAAAAGGCCGCGTTCGTCACGAACCGAGGTCTATTCGAACCTCTAGTGATGTTCTTCGGACTCACTAATTCACCATCAACGTTCCAAATGATGATGAATGACATCTTCCATGATCTAATCCTCACTGGAAAAGTTATGGTATACCTGGACGATATCCTAATATTCACCAAGGACATGGAGGAACATCGTCAGGTTGTAAAACAAGTACTTAGAATACTCCGAGAACATAAGTTGACGTGCAAACCTGAAAAGTGCGAGTTTCATGTCGAAGAAACTGAGTACCTAGGTCACATCATTGGCCATGGGAAACTTCGCATGGATCCTGCAAAGGTTGCTGGCATTGCAGAATGGCCAGAACCCAGGTCCAAGAAGGACGTTCAGCAGTTCCTCGGATTCTGTAACTATTATAGACGTTTTGTGAAAGGCTTCGGCTCCTTGGCCAAGCCTCTTTCGGACCTTACGGGTAACCGAGAATGGGAATGGACGGACACTGAACGAAGTGCCTTCCAAGGTCTCAAGGACCTCCTTACATCGGCCCCAATTGTACATATACCTACGGACGAGGACCCGTTTATGGTAGAAGTAGATGCTTCGCAATTCGCCCTCGGGGCAGTTCTTATGCAGAAGCAAGATAATCTTTGGGTACCGGTATCGTATTACAGTAGGTCGTTCAAGGACGCCGAGAAGAACTATCAAGTGTACGATAGAGAACTTCTCGCTATTGTAGATTGTCTAGAGGAATGGCGACACTACTTAATACACGCAAAACATACTGTACAGATCTTCACTGACCATCTTAATCTCACGTATTTTAGGAAACCCCAGAAAATCAACCCCCGTCAAGCACGGTGGATGTCCTTCCTCGCCGAATACGATTTCGAACTCCATCATATCCCAGGCAAGAAAAATAGTGCAGCAGACGCTCTTAGCAGACGTCCAGACTATGACGACGGTATGGATCACTTGGATAATCAGGTCGTATTACCTGCCGAGTTGTTCCGAAGTACCAAAGTTATAGGGACAGACGCCATCCGCGACCTCTGCGCCATACATTCTTCCGAATATTTATTATGGAAAACTTTGCCTCAAAAGGAGCTCGAGTCAGCCGAGGACGGCACACTCTGGAGGGGGGGTGAAATTCTCATAATTCCAAACAACCAAGAAATAATCGGCAAAGTAATACAGTCCCACCACGATGCCGCGTTCATGGGACACCCAGGAATAGAAAGGACCATGGAATTAATCAAGCGATCGTACTGGTGGCCGGAGATGATCAAGGATGTTACGGCGTATGTGAAAGGTTGTGGGACCTGTCAGAAGGCCAAACCTAACCGCCAACATCGATCAGCACCATTAGAGCCAAACCCAGTTCCAGACCATAACTGGCAGTACATCTCCACGGACCTTATTGTAAAACTACCAACTGTAGACGGATACGACTCCATCCTTGTATTTGTAGATTTGAAGTCGAAAGACTTCATAGCCATACCCTGCACGGAGTCAATTAATTCGAAGGACTATGCGGACTTGTACATTAAACATGTAATGTCGGCACACGGACTAGCAGAAAGGATATGGTCCGACAGGGGACCACAGTTCGTATCCTCGTTCACCAAGGATGTATACCAACAGTTGGGCATCCAGGGGAATCCTTCTACTGCCTATCACCCTCAGACGGATGGACAGACGGAACGGATGAACCAGGAAATAGAAACCTACCTGAGGATATATACTTCCTATAGACAGGACGACTGGCCTTCCAAAATACCCCTCGCTATGTTCGCATACCGAAACCATAGACAAGCAAGCACCGGTTATACCCCATTCTACCTTACGCATGGATACCATCCCTATACGGGAGTCGAAACCAGGAAAGAACCCCGCAACCAATCGGCCGAAGAATGGACGAAAGAGATGGAGGAACTTTCCAAGGACGCAACTAATCACCTTACCAAAGCGAAAGGTATAATGAAGAAGTACCACGATGGCAAATACCCAGACCATGCGGCCTATACCAAGGGCGATCTGGTACTACTAGAAGGAACTAATATTACAACCACTCGACCGAGCAAGAAGCTGGACGATAAACGCTACGGACCATTTAGTATAGTAGAAAAGGTCGGGAAGTCGGCTTTCAGACTCAAGCTCCCACCCGCTTGGCGTCATATACACCCCGTCTTCCACGAATCCCTATTAATACCCTATCACCCTGCACAATTTAGTGTACAAAAAGACGATACTACTATACCCGTTCCGGAGGGCGAACCCCCTACCATTAGCCAAATCCTCGACAGTAAAAAGTCCAAGACTGGACTATTATACCTGGTCAAATGGAAAGGGAAGGACGACACCGAGAACACCTGGATACCCCGCTCTACAATAGCAAAGGACTATATTCTGTTACTTAATAACTTCCATAAGCTACATCCCAAGGCACCCAAACCGCCTAATCTCCTTACTATACCCGGTGGTCAAAGGATCCGCGCTCAAGAAGACGAAGAAAGCGACGATGAACCTGACAGTAAGGGAGAAAAGAGGACGGAAGAGGAAGAGGAAGAGTGGAAGGAAAAGATCTACTGGGATCATAAAATGATACGATGGTATAAACGCAAGTTCCAAGCCCATGTCGTACTTCACGTACCCCTCGATACCACGATCGGCCTAGAAATAGGGCTGCCCGAGAAGTTCGACATCGTATGCATCTGGCTAGTGAACCCAGACCACTATATCCATACGGTCTTGTTCGTAGGAACCCCCAAGTCGCGTAACCATCTATTTGTATACCCAGTCAACGCCCAGTGGGTCGTAGAAGAAGGAAAGATCCAGTGCCCGGAGCGCACTCACGGCTATTATTATCTCGACGATGCACCAATACCCTGGCAACGTATGCGTTTCAAGGATACCCCGGTGAAGGAAGAGGACGTCTCCACTTATACCACATATGACCCGGAGCGTACTCGGACACCAATACCCAAAACCAAATGGAACCTACAAGCCGTACACCCACGCATCTACGACTAGAATTCAAGCCTCGTGAGGACACTTCGGCCTGGAGGGGGGGTACTGTCACGGTTTTTCCGCGCCACAAGTCTCAAGCGCCCACGGACCATTATTTATCCACCTAGTTACCCTATATAGTATGTATCACTACGCCTCCACGTGTATATCTTAGTATACCCACGCCACTCGGACATCCCTCGGACATGTATCAGTCACGTGACCCTACGTCATAGTGACATCATAGACCTAGACTCTACAGACACTCCTAGACTTAGACGGACTCCACTAGGCCTGAGCACGCCATAGCACACCATAATGATGTATTATTACCAACCTAGGGTACGCAGGGTCCTACACCCGGTACCAGGGGTCCAGCCCCTCTTGTATATATACCCGCTCGAGCTGAGGCCTACCCCTCAGTTTCGAGTTGGTCTTTACTCCTCCACTTAAGCTAAAGATCCCTGACGGGATAGGCGAGAGCGGACCCAGGAGTTCCTGAGATCCTTCACACAACAGGGCTTGAGTGTGATTCCGAACGAGAATTGCGCCTTCCTTCTAGCTACTCCTTCATGGACTGCTTCAAGTTGGGTAACGAAGTCTGTGGATAGTAGAGGTGGCGCCATTAGTAGGCATCACTCGCGATCTCGCAACCCACTCCTGCCTCCCCAGCAAGACCATGATGCGGATACGGCGACGGTACACGCGCGATCCTCGGCATTTGCCGAGGCTGTGTGTTCAACCCATGTACAGTCTTCGTCACAAACCTTGCTCTCCTAAGTATACTACACTGCCGGAGACGAGAGCGAGGTTCCCTTCAGTATTCTGCTCTAAGTCTCTAGCGTCAGCCTGATATGGTGAAGAAGAAGACGAAGAAGACAGATACTACTGTCGAGGGCGGCATCGTTTCTGCGTCAGCGATAGCGGCGCAGGTGTCGCGTCGCAATGTTCGCGGGAAAAGGGGTGGGCTCAAGGACATGCCCAACATGCCACTCGATGTCTTGTTCGAGGTGGGTCTGGATTCTTTCGCTAATGCAGAGACATATTCCAGAACATTAGATGCAGATCTTTTGTCACTTACATCCTCGGGATTTGTTGAATCTGGCGAGAACGGATAAGAGTTTCCGCTCTACGCTCATGAGTCGAAACGCTGCTCCGTTGTGGAAAGCTGCTCGACTGAATGTGGAAGGCTTACCGGATTGTCCGGCCCATCTCAGTGAGCCAGCTTACGCCAACCTCGTTTTCTTTGTCCATTGTCATGTACGCTGATTTGTATATATGCTATTTGTGTTCACTAACCGCTGCATAGAATTGTCTCAAATCAAACATTCCTACCATCCTGTGGGAGTTTTCAGCCCGCCTCTGTAGTGGCTGCAAGAGAATACTGTGAGCGAAAAATGCACATAGTTTTTTTTTCTAACTCACGATTTCTTCAGGACTGTTAGAGGACTCTTACATGATGACATGGACGTGATTCGTGCAATGAAGAAGCCAATTTTTGAAGTACACATTCGGGTATATAAGGCCTTATCTGACGTGGTTTAGTAAATTTATTGCTTCCGAATGCAGCTGCACGATTCGCACAGGGCTGGCCTCTTTTTCCTACCTGAACTTGAAGACCTGAAGAAAACATGGAACAGCTTGCCATCAGCTGCGGCCAAGAATGTATTCGTCGAGGAAAGAGTGGCATGGGTTGCACAGAGACGGCAGGTAATAATGTCTTTCGATTGGAAGAAACTGTCCTTCACAGAACGTTCAGTTCGGTCAAGTCTGTCGAGCATGGGCCGAAAAGAGGGCAGAATCAAGGTCGAATGAACTGCAACAGATTAAACGCAACCGGGTGGAAACGTTAGTAACTCCGTATTCTATTACGTGCCTGCATCTTACCCATGTGCAGCATCGTGTCGAAGTTACGCGCCCTCGGTTGGGGTGACGAGCTCGACCGTATGTTGGGACCAGCTTACTTTCCCTTGTCCCTTCACGTGCATGTCCGTCCTGCAAAGCGATTGACTGAAACAGGTGTACACGGCTCTTTGCTTTAATTATCATTTTTACTGACAATTCTGTACAGCCTGGAGGAAAATAAGCGCGGACATGATTCAATATATGCAAGAAATCAAGAGAAATCGCCTCGAGTCTGAAAGAAAGTACATTCTGCAGCAGCGTTTCCGCGCACTCTGCTCGATCATTTCTGACTTTTATGCCGAACCTCCTGGAATGCCGGAATACGAGTGCAAGCCTTCGATAGCGGATTTTGCCATGATGCCTGCATTCCGAGAAATCATCGACTCGACCAACGATACAGTCATCGATGCCACGACTTTTCTTCCATTGCGCGACCAGCTCCCTATGTTAATTGAACAATGGCAGGCTGACGTCAAAGAGCAGCTCAGGCGCATCGTCCAGACTCGCGCACATGGCGACATAGCGATAGATCCTCTTGACCTGGCCACGACGGTGTTTGAATGTACGGGCTGTACAAGAACCCTTCAATATCCGAACATCATAAAGCATTCATGCTTGCGTTCCAATACTCTATACTGCTATATCGACGCCGAGTTCTCCACCGTTTACGAAAAGGCACTCTACAACGGTATAACCAACGAATGCGCCTGGTCTACCGACGGGCTCCGCGTCTCTGACGCAATGAGCCACTTCAAACGTATCGTTACTCTGTGTGGCAAAGATCCCATCTCCACTACACAGCAAGAGATGGACGCACTGGACGTCATGCTCTATCGCCCCATCGACCTCGCTGAACCGCATGGCCCACAAAGGGCTTACACATGGCGTGCTGCAGTGGGTATCTTTGACAATATGTTGACGTGTTACTAAATTCCCTCTCAGATCATGGACTGGCATGTGCTGCCGTGTATAAACAACATACCTTGGACGGTAGTTTCCCATGCACAATTGAAGAGAATTCGGGAATCCGGGAGCCTCGATTCCTCTCATGATCACATAAAGTTTCTATAAGAAAGTGGACACGGCATCAAATGGATGATGCGTCTTCATTGCAGCCTTCCCATCGGTATCCATATGTAGTGTTGTACATATGATAAACGCATACACGTACATAGCAACATAACAGAGCTGAAGTCGCTAGGAACATTCGAAACAATATTAGCACCGGGCGAAATGATGAGTACCTTGAGTGAATACTAAGCGCAACCCAGTGAAAACCCTAGTTTCGCACTCTGACCGAGCATTGACGGCAGGATAGGTCATGCTAATAAGCCAGCTCATCGCGGAATGAGCGATCGTGAATCTGTAAAATGCGCCTCCTGACAAGATCCGGAAGTTGCCTCTGCAGCGCGGCTTCAGCATGCCTGAAGTCGAGAATACCTCTGTGCACGAAGATGACCTCCCGGAGAGATTTACATGCTGTACGAGACAGGATCCACGCAATGTGATCCCATTGCGGACCAGCCACTTGGCTGGGGATATTCATGGTGATATCAAAGCTAAGCCGCGATAACGGCACTTCTATGACTTGAGCTAGCAGCGTGGATACCCAAGGTAAACTGTGTTCTGATAGGTCTAGAATGGCGAGATGAAGTGACTTCAGGTTCGTGTCCTTCGATAGGTCAAGGTAATCTCCAATCGCTGCGGGGCCGCCGTTCGAGGTCAGTCATGGAGCTGATTGTTCTCATTATTCCACTCACTTTGCGCCATGGAGGACTTGCGATCGAATCTACAGCCGATCCTGAGGTGTTCCAGAGAGCGATTGAGGCGCTGTAGGAACTGCCCAACAGATTTGAGCTCATCGGGCAATACCCAGTAGAACTCAACGGATTTGAGAGAGGAAACACTGGACGTCTTCAAGATCCACTCGATCAAGATCATCGGGGTGCAGTGTCTCTTGAGAGAAAGCGATGAGAGCTGCAAAGACGATCGTTTAGGACTGAACGATTTCAGCGTGCCGATGGGATTACTTTGCCAGGAGATGACGTCGAGAGCGATTGTCGTGAGCTTGGGGAAGCAGAACACGAGGTCCTCGTAATCTTCAAAGCCCGCGAATGTGCAGCCGGACAGGTGCAATTCGCGTATCCTAGAGTATTTCTGCAATCCAGGAAAGAAAAAAAGGCGGGACATGTGGATGCGATGCCACTCCACATTCTCGAATCGCAAGCTCTTGAGGCGTGTCAGGTTCGTGACGGGCAAGTTCGTTATCCAGCAAATCCAAGCCGGTGGCACGCCTCTGCGGAAGCTTTTGTATGCTTCAAAACAGAGCTCCCGAACCTTGCTGGAAATGTGTGGCTCCGACTCCACGAGGTGCGCAAACCGCTTGAGCGTCTCGACGCTCTCGATAGTCACGGTGGAGAACAGGTGGTATTGGCTTTCTTCTCGCCATGAGCGGCAGACACATGCGCATGAACGTAGCATCTCCACGTCGGAATGGCTGAAGTCAATGATGTAGTCGACGAGCTCCTGGGGAAAGGCTCGTGCAAACGTGGATGTTTGCGTTTTGGGCGAATGCCCCGCTGTCAAGTCATGAGCGATGGGGACGATGCACACGTTCAGTTGCACTGCACTCACCAGTCGAAGCATTGAGAAGAATCCTCGTATCATGATGCGGCTGCTCCAACCCCAGCGATGATCGAGGCATCTGCTGAGGATGATTTTGTGCGAGCCTTGACATTGAAAATTCAGCTTCGGCAACGTCGAGACGAGATACTTAGGCGATGTTGCGATCTGTGTAAGAAATCCCAGCTTTTATACAAGAGTCTTATTAACGTCTTCTCAACATTCGGCGCCTTGGATCAACATGCCACCATTGTCACAATTCACCCAAACATCATTATCAATCAGGTCAACAGTGAGGCTGTACTTGAACAGAAACACTGACTGGTATATCGCAGCCCCGGGTACTCTTTGTTAGACCGAATCGTCGTCTCGACAGAGGGCTGAGTACGACACAGCTTCGTAGCCAGCGCTCCGCGGCGTTCAGGGATAGTATTAGGACATCAACCACGAATTATGGTCGTGCGAAAGTTTCGGAACCTTATGCTGCTGCAACTCATGACCAACGAAAGAATTGCATGGCAAACGGCAGCCATCTGCTCCATTGATTCCGAAAATCGCATCATGCAACCAAATTATGCATGGACGAACAATGACAAGTTGAACCCCGACAAGCTGCAGCTACGTTGGTCCACCGAGCGCTTACATACCGTATCCAGATTTGCGCGCATTGGCCATCACAGCCACAAAATGTCCAGTGGTCGACGTTTCAACTATACAGCACAGCTACATGCGAAGCAACGAAGAGCAAGCGAGAGCTGTCCTCCTAATAGTATCGTCTGCATTTGAAGAGAACGTCAACCCAAGACCAAGAGAGATTTTGAGGCTAAATTACATTCCGTGCAAGACATGCAACATACAACAAATGATATGCGGCAGAAACAATGTAAGTGCTGAGCGAAGCAGCGGTGGCAGCCAAGTTTTCCGCAGCCACCTAGGACCCTAGAATCCCACTACAGGACACATGCCCACATAGCCACAACCCATTTACTTCTTGAGCACGCCAATGACCGAGTCAGGCGCGTATCTCGGAATGACCTGCATCGCAGATGCAGAAAACAGTATTTCAGTCACACATGTACTCATCAAATCTTGAGGTTACGAACCTTAGGGTCGTGCAGCATGTTGAACTCCTCCGTCGCATCGCGCCCGGCGTACAGCAGAATCGCCTTCTCGCCTCCGGGATGGTCGGGCAGGAAGCTCGTCACATCGAGCACCTTCCCATCGATGATCACCCACACGTCGTCCTTCGATTTGTGCTTCGCGACCTCCTCGGCGGTGAATGCCTTCGTCGGGCCTGAACTCTTCGCCCCCGCAGCCGGGGTCTTCTCCTCAGTCGAGGTCTTCTCCTCAGCAGCCGCAGGCTATACTACCTCATCAGATACATTGTAAGTGCACGATGGAATACTACCACATGCCTTAGGACTCGACTCCGCGCCTAAATGGCCTGCAACAGCACCCAACCGCCCAGCAGCCTTCTCCGCCAACGGGCCAAGCTTCTGCAGCAGGTACGATGCTGCTGAGTCGCCGCTAACACGGCCGAAGACAACACAGCCCAGCAGCGAACTACCTCCAAGTCGGTTGGCACCGTGCACACCACCAGCAACCTCACCCGCAGCGAACAATCCCGGGATAGGCTTGCCCTCCTTGGACACCACACGCGACTCGGCGTCGATCTCGAGACCGCCCATCGTGTAGTGCAGCACAGGCGTCATGATCGCGACATTGAACACGTCATTCAACTTCCACTCGCCAGGCGCGAAGAACTACAAGGACGCAAAGCAGTTAGCAAGCAAGGAATGATAAGCGCCTGCAAGGACACAACACAGACCTTCTTGCCGAAAGGATCCTTCTTCGCCTTGACGATGTTGTTGTAGTCGTCGAACGTCTTCTTGAGGGCTTCGGGCTTGAGACCCATGTCCTTCGCGAGCGCCTCACCGCTCTCGTAGCGCTTCATCAGCCCACGGCCAACGTAGTGCTTGATGTGCCACTCGATCTCCTTGGACGCGGGGCCGTTGAGGACAAGGCGAATGGGATACTAAATAGTATGTCAGTATACATCACTACGTCGCATACGCTGCACTTCCATACCTTTCCGTTCTCCCACATCTTGCCAGTGACGAAGTCACGGTGCTGCAGCTCATCAACGAACCGGTGACCTTCATTGTCCAATAACAAACCACCGACGCCACGCAATGCCTCTGCAGCCAAGAACTTGACCTTCGCGTCGGGATCATTAGGGTCAACCAGACCAGTCGGGTGCACCTGGACCTTCTCGAGATCAATCGCACTCGCACCGATCGCGAGCGCCATCTTCTGTCCGTCACCCGTGCAATGCTCGCCGTTGGTCGTGGGCAGATTGTAGAGCTCGGGACGGTACTTCTTGATAAGCGAGGTACTCGTGAAATCGGCTGCGTAACCACCGGTAGCGAGGATAACGGGACCGTACGCAGTCTCAGTCTTGCCATTGTGCGTATACTCGACCCCAATGACGGACTCGCCGTCCTTGATCAGTTTCGTCACACGTGATTTCTTCTTGATCTGCACACGCTCTGGAATGGACTGTGCAAGATCCTCTAGCCGCTCCATCTGTGCGTATGTCATGACCTACCCAACGCATATTATGAGCAGAGGTTTCGGACAGAGGTCGGCTTCGAAGCTCACCATGCCGGGGAACTGTGCACCTCCTCGATGTGTGCGCGGCTGCGAATGACCACCAAGACGGGCGACCTTTGTGAGGTCCAGACCAAACTTGTTCGACAGCCAGGTTACAGCATCAGCAGAGCGCCCCGTGAGCACTGTGATGAGGTCGTCCCGCGCGAGTTCACGAGCCTAGAACGATCTATGTTGAGCGCATGCCAAACCCCAAAGTTCGGCGATAACTCACGGAGCTCTTGGTGTCATCGAAGAAAATTTTTGGGCTGTCGTGGATGCCCAAATCCTGCTGCGCCTGTGTGCCCGCACCGTTGATACCAGATGTAGCCTTGGTCGAGTTACCGCCCATGAATCTACAGGGCGGAATGACATGAGTGATCATTTCTGGCAGGTGTTACATAACAGTTGTATGGCTCGAGGAGTACATGAGTTTCATAGCAGGGAGCGAGCAGCACAGGGGCGAGGACGTCGGCGCTCGCAAATTCACCTCGCGCCATTGGGTGCCTGCACAGATCGGCTGAAGATCGAGAACCAATGTACGAACAACCGCCGCCGCATCTTACGACAAAAGTGAGCGCATCCTAACTGCTCTCCGTCCCTCCTAGACATGCGTTGCTTCCAGCAACCCGCACGAAGAAGACCGCCAAAATCCTCCCCAATGCAATCACCCCTCTAGCTCCTGACCCCGGGAAAAGGAGTACTCACGGCTGCTTGTCGAGCAGGAGCACGTTCGCACCGCGCTCGAGAAGAGTATGTGCGGCCGAGAGGCCCGCGAGACCACCACCGACGACGATAACTTGTGCCATAATGAGTAAGCGGTTGGAGGGGAGGAGGGATGGGGAGGAAGCATCCTATACAAGGCTCTTATACCGACGCGGCGTCACGAGGGACTCCGCGCATGTGAATTCCGCCCACCCGCTCTGCCTCCGGACACTCACCGGACCTTGAACGGCCCCCGCGTTGCACTCGACGAATTTACGCCAGCAAAAATCATGGCCTCTCATCAGCCCGCTCTGTGCTTCGTACAGTCTATAATGCGGGGCATGTGTACACGCGACAGGGGAGACGATGATATACAAATGAAACACAGCACCCGATGCACACCAGCAACTAGCGAGCAATCTCCTCTTGCAGCCGCGCACACACCCTGTCCACCATCACATCCATGTTCGTCTCGAGCCCCTCTATCAAGATGAGCCCAGGCACTGTCCCGTTCGGGCGCCCGTGCTCGACGTCGCCCCCTTCCAGCATCCCCGCGTGTGCCGCGACGTACGCCGGCCACACGATCTGCTCCCAGTACTGCGGCGGGTCGCGCCAGAGCGTGCCCTCTGGGTCGGATTGCACTCCAGGAGGCAAATGGGTGGTCATCGCATGGTCGTCGTAGCAAGGCCGAGCGGTGGCGAGAGAGCGGCGTTAGGGGTGGGTGGGTTTGGGGAAGGCACAGATCGAAGATGCGGGGAAGAGAATTAGGATGGGTCACTGTGCTGCGTCACGATTCCCGATGCTTCTTCCTGATCGTGCGTGGGGTACACGCGAGCAGGAAGAGGCACGGCGGGAATGCGTCTCAATGAATGCCTTACCTGCTGTGTGATAGCCATGTCTCTCATGTCGACGTTGCTTCAGCGTGTCATGCGGTACTCTGAGGAATATCCGGACGTCCAGTTGCTTTATGACGTCCTGCGTACGGAGTTACGGGTTAGAATATTCCAAGAACGATCAAATCCGCAATCGCTCACTGGATGCCAGTACAAAAGGAAGCCATCAACCAGGACCCACATTATCTTCTCTCCTGCCTTCTCGCGCTCCTCTTCTATTCGAATGAAGACGTCGCGCCAGCGCTCGAACACCTCCGGATCGAGAGGCACATCCTTCTGCTCGTTGAGATGATCATGGGAATAGTGTTCAGGCGGGATCACCCCCGTCTCCTTGACCTACGCACATAATATGCCGCCAAGCAAAGAAACAAACAATTAGCGACCCTGTTCGCGCTTCCCATAATCCTTGCAGCAAATAGCAGGTCTGCATTTGAAACCGATGAACGCACCTCCGCAAGCGTCTTCACCATCCGCGGCCAGTCAATGGCGCCCTCTGCGCTGTCCCAATCCTGCACCTTGTGCTCTGGGTGTATCGGGATAAGCTCTTGCGGCTAGCGTGCCAGGGGCGGCCCATCCCCGAAGGTGTACACGAGCGAAGGTGAAGACGTTAATTTCGGCGAAGCCAAGGCAGCGGAGGCGGAGACGGTCATTATGGGAGACAGTCAAATCAGCTCTCCTGCAGCCGTCACCGATTATTGCAACATCTGACGAACTCACCGGTGCAAAGTCCTACGAACGGAATAGCGCGTGGAATCAGCGCGCATCGTCAATCGCGGCATGAGAATTTCGGATGCCGGTGGGGACGAGCAGTGCTCACATCTTGGTGCAAGATCACGCTCCCCGGCAGGATGGATCTCAGGTGTTTCGCCAGGGTCGTCTTACCCGAGCACGTTGCCCCCCTTGATGCGCCCATATGTCAGCTCTCCACGCCCAGTATCAATGCACAGTCATTAACAACCGCACCCTATCCCAACAAATACTACGCGGGTACGCATTCGCTCCGATGTGATTCTGAAATGGTGGACTGCGGGACAGAGCAGACTGCGTCGATTTCACTAGAAGATCCCGCTTGTATGATTTGCGGGATTACTCTATTCTGCACTTTTCTGCGCAGCAATGAAGGGCGAGTTAATGAAAAGTGCTAGCGAATGATTGTGCGGCAACGGAGGAGCATGGCAATGAGGCGACTCGAGACGGACATGCTGGGACACTTATATCAGATTAGCGAGAATTTAAGGTTTCATCAACAGCCAATGACCTGAGGGCCTGAAAGAAGCGCCCAAAGACCGTGACGCGGGTTCGAACAAGTTAGAGACTGAATGCTAGCAGTTCAAGCCACAAATGCAGAGATCTGGCCAGCAACGCAGGTATACATCACGAGCTAATAGACAGACAGGTAGTACGGTGACAGGTAGTATGATAGTCAATGACAGGGAACGAGAGATGAAGCTGGTAAGCTAGAATAGTTATCGACGTCGCAACAATGTCCCAGAGGTATTCAAAACAGATAGTCCGTGTCCAAGGCACCACCGCCCTACATTACCACAGGCCGCGCTCACACTGACCAGCATTAAGCCGCCCCCTCATCTTAATTTCCAAGAAGACTCACGACCACGCGCGGGCGTGTCATAGAAGATTCTTGAAGCCAGCTTCCTTGCACTTCTTCACGAGACGTTTCACCTCCTGAGAGCGCGCGCGCGTCGTCACGAGCAGTGTGTCGGGCATATCCACGATGACCAGGTCATCCACGCCGAGCAGCGAGATTAAGCGCCCAGAACCAGGCACGACAATGCCCCCGGCAGCCTGTTCGGTGAGCACTAAATGAAGAAACGCATCAGAAGAAGCACTCCTCGCATGAGAAGCAGAAGCGTCGCACCAAGCGAGTTGTCTCCCAGTACACGCGGCTGGTTCGATTCGGCCGGGATGAGATCAGCGAGGGAAGAGAAGTCTCCAACGTCATCCCAGCCTAGGCGATGATGTATACTTAGCATCTCGTGTACTGAGTAGCAGGTGTGTACGCACCGAAGGTGGCGGGCACCACCGCGACCCTCCTGTCCAAAGCAGCAGGCTCCGCAACAGCATGGTCAATGGCGATCTTCTCCAGCCCGGGCCACACCTCGTCCAGTACCTTACGCCTCATCGGCTCATCGTCCCAGTACTGTGCAATCTTCTGTAGCCCATCGTACAGATCGGGCTTGTACTCCCTCAGCAGCTCCATCAAGAACGTTGCCTTCGTCACGAACATGCCTGCATTCCACCGGTAGCTTCCCGTTTTGATGTATGCTGCTGCCGTGCGCGCGTCAGGCTTCTCCTTGAAACTGGACACCAGCCGCGCGTTCGGCGCATCCGCAAAGCCCAATTTCTCGCCTAGACGGACGTATCCGAACCCGGTCGACGGGTGTGATGGGGCAATACCGATCGTAACGAGGTAATCCTTCTTCGCGACCTCCACTGCCTCGGCGACCGCCGATAGGAACGCGTCGTCACCGGAAATCATGTGGTCCGCGGCGAAGGAACCGATTATTGCGCTAGGATCGCGCCTGGCGAGCACGGCGGCTGCCAGGCCGATGGCGGCCATGGAGTCTTTCGCACTTGGTTCGCAGAACAGATTGTGGTGGAGGAGGTCCGGCAGCTGCTCGGTGATGCCCTTGACATGGGCAGGGCCCGCGACGATGGTCGTCCGTGTTGCGGACGAGAGCGGGAGGAGGCGATCCCAAGTGGCCTGGATGAGCGAACGACCCTTAAGAGTGAGGTCAAGGAGGAACTTGGGATGTTCTTCACGGGATAGAGGCCAGAGGCGAGTGCCAGCGCCACCAGCAGGAATTACGACATAGAATCCAGGTATATCGCGCATGCCGAAGGAGTACTGGGTATTGCAGTTATCGCTGAGCGGCGACGGGACATAGAAAGTCGGGGGGACTGCCAGGGAGGGAAGCGCGCTTGGGCTGAGGAAGGGGGTCTTCGCGCGTAGTTGAGGGCTACCAGGGGCGGGAGTCACAAATCCAGGAGTGCCCAGCCTCGAACCGTTGTTGTACTGAGGAGTGTATTAGCATGCGAGATACATTCAATGACAGATAACGTAGTAAAGTCCAGTCGAGCTTCAAAGTCCGTTAATACAGCAATAAGCTAGCTAGAGCGAAGGCGCCATCATTGGTACAACGAATCCAAGCAGAGAGGAAATATAGAGTCCTGCTATGCGCTGCCACGAATTATGCACGGTTCAAGTAGAGAACGCTTTGATTCCCAGATAGTCGTCTTCTCTAGCATTTCCGCATACAGAGGATGTGTATCCGGATGTTGGGATGTAACAGCGGGTACTCACCTGTGTCCCCTCTTTCACCATCCGCTCCAAGCTTGCATTCGCCTGCCTGAGTTCATGCACCTCCGCGCGCAGCTCTGTCACCTCAGAATGCTTCCCGGCACCAACACGTCAGGCTACTCTACTCCGGACACGTCAGACCCCAAAGTGAATGTATCGACTTCTGGACCGCATCCATGATGTGCTTGAACATGAGCTCGACGGGAAGGTCCTTCGCCTGCGCAGCAGGCTTGGCGGCCGCTTGGATATGGGAGGACATGGCGGTGTCGAGAGTGTTGGGAGAGGTCAAGGTTGAAAGGAGAGACGAAGCGAATAAAAATGCGGGCTTTCAGTGCCGCCGAGAACTGTGCAGTCTGGCGCGCAGGTCAGTCTGGAACGGCAATTGCCGAAATGAACAAGCTTGTGCCACGTTCGCCGTTGGTTCGCACCTTCTTCCGTCGGCGAAGACCCGCTTTGCTGCCTCGAACAATAATCTAGTCAAAGTCTCGTCTTTCATTGTGCATCACGTTCAGACTCGAGAAGTGCCGCCCTTGGCGGCAGATCCCTTGCTCGCCTTAGATGCCGTGTAACAAGTGCATAAGGTGTAGCACAGCCTGCATAGATTTATTTTTCCACGGGAAACCTGATGCAAAAATGGTGAAAATATCTTATGTCTGGATATGGAAATAGTTTGGAAATTGGGCGGAGACAATTAAATTATGTTACGATTGTTTTACCGAAACATATCAGCAATAGTGAAACTATTTCCCAAAGGAAGATATTTCAGTCCAAAAATATGTGATACTGATATGTTTCGGTGAAGCAATTGTAACATAATTCAATTGTCTCCACCCGATTTCCAAACTATTTCCATATCCAGACTTAAGATATTTTCACCATTTTCCCATCAGGTTCCCCGTGAAAAAATAAATCTGTGCAGGCTGTGTAGTAAATGTTAACCGGTGTCTTACCTTTGAGAAAAAATTGCCTCCATTGCATTTGCTATCAGGTTTGCATGCCCTAAATTTCAAACTTGGGTAGCCACTACGAAAAACTATATATATCAATCATTTAACCTATATATCACGCAAGAATTGTACAAGCGACACACAGAACATGGCACTGCCATAAACATGCTTGTGATTTCAGGAGCAGAAGGGTATATGAAAGAATCTGATATACTGCCATAGCATCTGGATAGCAACAATGAAGGAAGAAATTTCAGAGACTGAGGTTGAATTGAGATGAATTGAGATGAGCTTTGACAGTGGACATCCAGCAGATGAGAAGATGGCAAAACAGATACTATGCATGATGCCCCAGGGCATGGTGAAGACAAACATCATGAAGTGGATCCGACAGCGACGAATTGAAGAACACGAAGGAATATAAATTGAGCAGCTCACAAAGAACAGAGAACGGTCAGCCACCCTGAGCAAATACTGCCAAACAGTGGAAAGCGCCCGGCGTTCATTTCGAGGCTGAGAGCCTGCTCTGGCGAGCAAGGGATGCATAATGCAGGCTGGGCAACGTCGACATGACAATTTATCCTACGCAACGTCCTGAAACATTCATCTACGACAAATGCGCATGTGCTCGTTCGCGAGCGTGTAATTTGGCTTTAATCTGCGTCATACAGAGACAAATAGACATCCGCAGCGAAACTGCGAGCAAGGACACAATCGACGACGCCGACGGCAGACCAACGAACCATAGATTCAGGCCTTGGCCCTATGCCATAGCGAACAGACTTTGAGGTTGCCTACCGCGTGGCCCAGAGTATCATTGCTGCAGCCTCGAGCGACATGTGCCTAACAATCAAAAGCGGCTGCTGAACGATTGCATCGGCATACGTTGCCATAGCCTGGACCTTGAACATTGATGCATTGCAGGGCCTCCCGTTAGGCCTCACGTGTGGCGTCCTCCAGAAGTCAGTCCTCGTCGCTGCCGAATTCCAGAGCTTGATACTTGCGCGCCTTTTGCGAAGGGTTCGCGAGCGAGGCGCCTCTGTGAGTCGTAGCGGCGGAAGGGAGAGTGCTCTCTACATGCCCTATCAGTAATGTCCCAAGGAACGAAATACCCAGATTAGGCCTACTTGCGATCGATTTGAGTTTGGAGGTCTCTTGGATTGATGTGCTTTTCGTGAGCTTCGATGTGTTCGGGGGTGTTTCAGGTTCTTCTTCCGCCTGTCGCTTGTGCTTCTGCACCGGTGATTCTGGACTTATCGAGCGTATACTCTTCTCCCTTGCTAGCTCTGCCTTCAGCGCTTTAATTTCTTCGTCCTTCCGATCGGACAAAGTACGCTCTCTCTTATTGGCTAAGACGCTCTTTGTCAGTCGAACTTGCCGTCCGTAAATCAAACGCACCAGCGGGTTCACTCGCAGTAACACCGCTCTTGACACGAGGTGTATCATATGGTGATGGGTGCAGCCGGCATTTGCGCGACTGAGCTTGAACAGCGATCTTTCACATGTGATGTTTCCCTCACCCTCAAACACTGGTATGCGTTGGACGCAAGTAGCACTCACAGTAGCAAAAACTTTCGTCGCGAATGCCGCGGCTTCCTCGGGCGACAACTCCACCAGCGGGACATGGGCCGGAGAGCTCGTGTTCGTACCAAGGACAAACTGCAATAGGGCGTGTCAGACATCCGCTTCAGGAAAGATACTGATGTCGGAGTTCACGGATGAGAAAGATTGACTTACGTCGATATGTGCACCCTTTCGGGAGCTCCAGTTGCCTATGTATAGTTCGCCCTGCACGAAAGCGTCGGCGAGGGAATCTGCGAAGTCATCCATGGATGTTGCGTTTACCTACCGAACGCGTTGATAGCGTCCCTCTCATGGCTGGAATTATAGCACTCACGGCGCCCTTGCGAATGTCCTCGTCCGTCCAACGTCCGCGCCACCAACGACCTTCGTCCCCTGTAAGGCCAATGTGGACCGTCCAACTCGTGTCATCTACGCTTGAGAGCACGACAAAACGTGATGAACCTTGGTATATCACTTGAAGCAGTTCATCCAATGGCAGGAAGGCAGTCAGAGGGTCGGAATCCGTCATGATTTCACTGCGGTCAGTTTGCCCCTGGAAGGCAAATCTATGATTGCTTTGCCCTAAAGAACAGGTCGCGGTGAAATTTTCCTGCTCCAATCCTCAGATAGTCACGGACTGGAGTACGCAGGGCTGCGAAGGTTAACAACGAAGCTAAGCTAAGCTAAACGAGCAATTGCACAGATGCAATGGGGACGCGCGCACGATCACGTGGGTCGCGCTGTGATGTGCTCGGATGGCGTGTTCCCGTGTTCCCATCGCGCAGTTGACCGTGGAAATGAGCTCCTCCACACCAGCGCCATGAGTCACGCACAATGTCCGTGGTGAAACCTTAAGCTACCTTTTCGTCCTCCTGAACCACGAGCTGGTTTCAGCATCCATTTAGGTAGAGGAAGTCGACTGTCGGAATCGTTATGGACGCGGATCAAGCTCCCGCGAGCTATGGGGCCACCATTGCGCATCCCAGATCCTCTGATGCACCAGTATCGGAACCAGAGGAAATTCCAGTCAGTGATTTGCGCCCTTTTCCGATGTATGTTGGGCGTGGTGGTCTCCACCGTGGACTCTCCGCGCGTCAAGTCTCGATGATTGCAATAGCTGGGACTATCGGTACTGGACTGTTCTTAGGGACTGGGCGTTCCTTGGCTCAAGGAGGGCCGGCCAGCATGCTCATCTGGTATGTCTGCTACTACCTCGAGACAGGTTTGTGAGGGCCTAATTAATTCCTCAGCTACGGCTTCATCGGTGCGATTGTCTATGTCACGCTGTTGCTGCTCGGCGAGATGGCCACGCAATATCCTGTAGCTGGTGAGTGGCTGAGGTGGCTTTCAAAATCACTCCGATGATGCAGCGGGCATTTCTGCGGCAGGAGTGTTCTCTTTATATTTTCAATTCACTGGTAATCAAGGAAGATGAACTAATACCTAGCACGAAGGTTCATTCAACGCCTATGCGACGCGATTTTTCTCGCCTGCCTACGGATTTGCTCTCTCATGGAACTACTGGTTCAATGACGCCGTTTCTGTGGCATCAGACCTGACTGCGGCCCAGCTGGTTCTACAATTTTGGACGACCTGGCACCCATGGGCCATCAGTCTTGTTTTCTGGGTCTTCTTAGTAGCGGTAAATGCAGCACACGTGAAGGCCTACGGGGAGCTCGGTGAGTGCGATGGTTGAGACAGGCGAACGCCATTTTGATACGCCTCATCAGAATATTGGCTCTCCTCCCTCAAGGTGGTCACAGTCATATTTTTCGTCATTGTTGGAATATTCGTGAACCTCGGAGTCAACCGCGAACACGAATTTATTGGATTGCGAAATTGGCACATTGAAGGGGCACCGTTCGTTGGTGGATTTGGGGGTTTTGCCAGGGTCTTTGTGACTGCTAGCTTTGCTTGTGCGTCGATTACGGGTACAGCGATCGAAAATCATACCTGATGAATAAAACCTAGACGGAGGAACCGAGAGCCTCGGCATCACTGCTGGAGAGACCAAGAATCCGTCACGCAATATGCCCCGGGTAGTGAAATTTGTCTTTTGGAGGTGAAATATTTCAATTTACCTGGCGAGGAAAGCTTGTTGAGAGCATTCACATAGAATTTTGCTGTTCTACGTTCTAAGCATTGCACTCATTGGGTTGAACGGTGAGTGCTATCGTGGACCATGAACGCCTCAGCTAATGAACGCATCCAGTCCCTTGGAACTACCCTGGATTGTCGAACAGAACTACTACAACTTCCCCCTTTACCATTGTTTTCAAAGAGGCAGGATCAAGTGAGCACCTTATTTGGGAGAAACAATGTCCTATAAGAGATAACCCTGCTTTCTAGACGTCGCCGCGTCTTTCATGAATACAGTCATCCTGACCTCGGTCCTCTCTGCTGGAAATCACGCGCTCTTTGCAGGCACCCGCGTACTGTATGGTCTATCAGTTACTGTTCCTTATCCGCAAGCTCCGCAGATCTTCTCGAGAACGACTAAAGCCGGCGTCCCGCTGGCTGCACTCCTGGCCACGAGCAGCGTAAGCATCATATGCTTTGGGACTAGCTTCGTCGGCAGCGGTGTTCTGTGGGGGTGGCTGCAGAACATTGTCGGGGTTTCTAATCAGGTGCGTTACATGCTTGTGTTAAGTTAGCGTCGATGCGATCTCTTCGAAGATCGCATGGCTATCGATTGGCCTCGCGAGTTGGCGATTCCGCAGGGCATGGATACGTCAAGGCCGACCTATCGACGAAATGAAATTTAGAGCCTCGTGGACTTGGCCATGGGGCCCGCCGTTCGTGGTAGGATAGCGCATTAGACCCATCGAGTTAGAACAAAGTCAATACTGAGGAATCACACAGGTGTCTTCTGTCACCGCTCTAATCATAGGTGCGCGCCTGATAGACAAGCCGTCGCACTGCTATCTATGCCTGACTCAGTGTTCTCTTACGTTCTAGTCCAAGGCTGGTCCTCCGTGATACCCAGGTTTTTGCCGGTCGACTTCATTTCATTTTACATTGAGATCCCTGTAATGTTGGCGATGTTCTTCGGCTGGATCTTCATCATGCGAGCGGCAGGGTCTGCATCCCTGGAGTCTGAACCCGAGTTTGATACCTCATCAGCGGGTCCCAACGTGCCGTTGCTCCGCCGATCAATCCACCGGAAGCGAAAGAGATACCACGATCTAGTCGACTTGGATACGGTGGATTTGACCAAAGATGAGTACGAAGAGGCTGAAACGGATAGATCTGATGACGAGGAAAGGGAAAAAAGGCTGAATGGGTGCACTGGATGGCTATGGGCGATGTACTACTGGATTGTGTAGATGTAAGCTATTAGCTGGTACTGATAAGATCTTACGCGCGGCAATCAGTACTCCCACAGGCGCCTACAAGTGAGAATTCAGCCACGCACACACAGTCACCACATTATCTGGTCAGTCCTTAGAAATCACAGCTGCTCTGCGCATCATTCGCTAGTTGGAGAGTCATGACCGCCCTCAGTCTCGAATCAACTGTCCGTCTATCATCCGGTATCTGCCTCTCAACTCCGCCCATCAGGATTCAGCCTGAGTGGAGCCTCTGATGGAACTTCCAGGTTACGATATGCCAACGCTCGGCTTTGGTGTCTATCAAAATTATACTACCGCAGAATCTGTCACGGAGGCGCTCCGGGTGGGGTACAGGTATAGATATGACAAGCGGTGTCTAGCAATTGTTGAAACGCCGTAACTGAATTGTTGACAGACATATTGATTCTGCACAAACGTACCGCAACGAGGCACACGTTGGAGCCGCAGTCAGAGAGAGCCGCTTAAGCAGACAGGAGGTTTTCGTGAGTCAGTGAATGAGCTACATTACTAAGCCGCGTGCGACCCTCATGCTTGCTCCTCCTTGTACTAGCCACAAAATGCATCAATAAAACCCACGGTTACGAAAGCACCCTGAGCGGAGTAGACGCATCTCTCGAGCGCTTTAGTTTCGGTATGTACCCGGTTCCAGGCCACCACATTGCTAGCCGAAGCTGATATCGAAAGACAGAATATATTGATCTCTTTCTGATTCACGACCCGATGTCTGGCAAGGAGCGCCGGTTGCAGACCTACAAGGCGCTTCAAGAAGCACGACGGGCAGGCAAGATCAAGAGTGTAGGTGTCTCGAATTAGTAAGTGTTAATGGGCTTGGCGCTATGTCGTGCTCCCGCACTCTCATTGATCATGCACTTGCAATGGGCTAATCCCGAATTTCAATGTCGCCTAGTGGAGTGAAGCATCTAGAAGAAATAAAGGATGCAGGTTTTGAAGTCCCTTCCGTGAATCAAATTGAGGTCTTGAACACATTCCATTTCGAGATAACAGTCCACTGATAAGGCGAGATCCTCCCGCAGTTGCACCCGTTCTGTCAGCAAAAGGCGATTGTGTCTTATTGCCGTGAACATTCGATTGTTGTTCAGGCATATTGTCCAATCCTGCGAGGAAAGCTGGACGATCCGACCATCGGAGAAGTTGCGAGCAAGGTCGCTTAACCTGAATACATTCGATGCCGCGCTTGTCTAATCCAGCTGTTTTGCAGCATAACCGGGATCCAGCTCAGGTATTACTGCGGTGGTCGCTTCAGAAGGGGTGAGAGTGACATTACTAGTATAGGTAACTGCACGCTCAAACAGTTGATATTAGATTCGTGCCCCTCCCCAAATCGGTTACTCCTTCCCGAATCCAATCAAATATCCGGTTATATGACTTCGCTCTTGACGACGAGGACATGGCTCGGCTAGACGCACTTGACAAGGGCAGTGGTGGCTCCATCAGTTGGAATCCAGTCGACGTCAACTGAGCAATCAAAGAATCTGATTTTGAATACGCTACGTCCAGGGATGCCTCTCGTCTGATGTATCACGTCGGAGGTCTGAGTCAGAATTTCAACAATGCTAGCCGATGTCTCTCCTGAACGGCAGCAGATAGCAGTTCTGGGGGTATTCTCTCCAGCGGTGGAGGCGGTCGACGGGCAGTTGTCACGCACTCAGCACATCAACGGATATGCGGGGTTTTCGTCACTTAGGTTTCCGTCACTTATCCGTCCCCCATGCGCACCAGTGATGGGTTAGCTCGCATCAGATTGGCCACTGTTGTAGGGGACGAGTCATCTCATTCGTCGCTTCCAGTGCGGCGCCCATTTATGAGCCCTACGATTGGGGGTCGAATTTCCTAATACTGCAGTTTGTTGTGCATTCGTTCGACACCATGCTTTCTCCTCAGATGTGCGATCGAGATCACCATAAGATGTCCTCGGAAAGCTTGGGCTGGTCGTGACGAGGACTTCGCCGAAGCTGTTCCGATTCGATACGGATAGCATGACACACACTCGTTCCGTTCGAAAACGTTCCTGTTTTACCCTATGACCGCATAAAATCCGCAGTACGCATCAACGGTTCTTTGCGATAGCTGTCAAAGACAGGAACTTCCGCTTCGCGCAGTAGATTGAACCGATGCACGCCGGAACTCTCGTGATTAACGGCGCTATGTGCCACGATCTGAATACATACACTTCCCGCCTGACGCCAGCGCCACTAAGGTCACGAATCCTTATCCGTAGTGCCTTCGCCCTTTCCTTTACTCCTTGCTATCCGCTCTTGCATAGTGTTCTTAGCACCTTCTTCTGCAGCGTCAAGCTTGCCCGATTTTGCGAGAGCCAAAAGAAGGGCATGTATGAGTCCAACGTAGTTGTGCCTTCTCAAGCTGTTTTCGAACTGGTTTGCAGCAGAAAACAAAGTAAGTCATCTCATCATGCACGTTGATAACGGGTATCAGAATGCAGGCCATTTGCGGCAATTGTGAACCATCGAAAGAAATCAACTCACGGCCCAGCGCTCTTGCTTTGAGTTTTCCGTCGTCAGCTTGACTATCAGTTCCGCCGCTTCTGCTTGTCTACCGGCCGCCTGTAGCTCCGCGAGTTGAGCCTTGAGCCTGGGCATGGGATCTTCATGTAGAGCTAGCAGGCTGAACTCAAGCTGACGTTGTTATCGCTTGATAAGTTCATCTATGACGAACATACAGGCGGGTGACAGCGCCACTCACCGAACCAGCCGGGTACGTTGCAATTCTGGCCTCTATGACAGATCTATAGTCATTGGATGTTATTTTGAGCTACGAGGCGCCTAGCAAGAAAATAGATTACCTTGCTTTCTCCGTCCATCCTTCACCACTCTCGTCGTAAGGCCCGTGGCTGATCGGCCATTGTTTCAACCCGTCAAATTCGTAGACGCAGCCCATGTATGGCATGTAAACGATGAAGTGGTACGCGTCCTCGGCCGTCTTAGGGAGACCAAGACCATCCATTGAGATCGCCGACGGCGGTGAAAGCGCGTTGTGCGCTTCTCTCAACCAGTCTGCGCTAGTAATGGCCATGCCGCGCGTCTGTGGATCCATGCCGATGGTGAAGCTCAGAAGGTCGGTGAGTTGCTGCCCCATCGGAAGTCCAGGAATATTTCCGATTGCGTTCATCACGGCGAGCGTGGCGCACGCGTTGTTAACGACTTGGTGGGAAAAGAAACCTGGGAACTCGGGATCATATTGGCCGTCCGCGGGCTCTGCTGAAGAGCCCACCCATTTAAAGAGAAAGATAAATGCGTGAAGAGGCTGCAAGTCAGCTAATGAGGCAGAATCGAGCGAATACAAGTCATCGACCACGAGCGGCACTCCCAAGGACTTGAGAAGCTCACTGCGAGAACAGCTGTATCAACCCTCCCGCGCCACAACCCGGAGATGGACCTACGTGAATACGCCCGGGTCGGATTCGGTGAGCTGCCAACCGCTTTGGTGCTCGTCGTCTGCAGACATTGGAATGCGGTTTGAGGTAGTGGGAGTCTGTTGCGAACCTTAACTTCAGCCAGTGACGCGTTGAAATCTTTGAGTCACGTTACCCCGCATTCATTGCCAGCGCTCGTTTTTGTTTGGCAATGGCCTCCGTTCCAAACAACCGCCTACACGTGGTTCTCGAACGTACATGTCTCAAGCTGAAGATCCTCGAGCCTCTAATCGGGCACGATTTGAGCTAGAGCTCGAGTTTGTACAATCACTTGCCAACCCTTACTACCTTCATTCTCTCGCTCAGCAAAATGTATTGAACCAACCGGCATTTATCAACTTCTTAAAGTACCTCCAATACTGGAAAGAGCCGCAGTATGCTCGTTTCATCCAGTACGTCGTGCATCTTTGAAAAGATCCGCGGATAAGTATATATCTTCCTATTCAGTTATCCCCATGCGCTCCATCATCTCGAATTGCTACAATATGAACGATTCAGAACTGAGATTGGCAAGGATGAATGGAGAGAATATCTCAATCAGAATCAGTTCGACCATTGGCGTACATGGTAGGGACATATCTCTCCATAACTGAGCGCGCCTTCTCACGATTCTGGACTGTCACAGGCGAGAACCGCACAAGATATCGGTCGCTCTCTCTGCCGACGCCCAAGGCGCCTCTGAGGACCTGCAAAGAGGACACCCTCCTACGACATGAGGAGACGCCACTGGCAGATGCGTCTTGCGAACGCTGAGTGCGTTTCTCGTGAGCGCTGACCCATGCGTTCTGGACCAAGCTTATCTGAGCGCACTGCGATTTTTCGTGAAAAGAGAAGTGAGGCTTCCATGGCATGGTATAGGGATTACCGTAGCGCTTGTATCGCGCCCACAATTTGCAACGGTGGTCCACCCAAATATAGACTATGTAGCGACTGCTAGAGTACGTGGCCTGGACCGCACGTATAATGAGGTAGCGCGTACTCTCGATTCGTGTCGACCACTAACTGGATCAATCATACCAGCGCAATACCTTAATCCTCTTGCTATATAGAGGGGCTATACGTGCATTCAAAGGAAACATCGTGCAGTACACAATTCTGGATCGGATGCGCCGGTACATTGAATCAACACGATGTCAGGGGGAAATGTATAGGTTTTGTATTGTGAGATCTGCCATACTGATTTCAAATACTCCTGCATGTTGTCTCGCCCGTGAAACCCGCTCGGGTCATTGAGCTCAATAACATAGTACTATGGCCGCGACCGTAGTGAAGTCCTTCGTAGTTCCGCACCGCTGGATTCCGTCGGGTAATCCTTTTCCCCCGACATGCTTTTGATGAAATGCGAGTAGATGCATCACAGATTGAGCAGATTTCCAAAGGAGGAATTCCCGTTGTTAAACGGAACGAATCCATGCCAGATAGACTCAAAGTTTAGTACAGCAACAGCGCGTGACGGTTTAGGCGGCGCGAACCGGAAGCATCTCAGATGTGGGCGTCCCCCCGGCGACGTGACTGGTTGTGTGACCCGCCGGCGACCACCATGTTTCCTTCGCCTTCGGCTCGATGGCCCAAAATCCCGACGCAAATGGCTATGCTCTCGTAGATTCCCTTCCAGAGGAGGAGACTGCTGATAACAGCGCCGACTATGAAGACGACTCTCAGGTCCACTTGGCTTCGCTGGTCGAGAAGAAGAGGCTCTGGTGGCGAAATGCTGTCATCAACACGGCATTCATAGCGTCGTGGTACGTCTCTTTCCAGGAACAGCAACTCATAACCTCGTTGCATGCCCGACTACACACTGTGCTCGACCGGCTGAATGATGAACACATAACACAGGTTTCTCTTCGCCACAGTCCTTTCAGTCTATAACAAATGGATGTTCTCGCCGGACCACTTTGGCTTCCCCTCTCCGCTGTTTGTCACGACTCTGCATATGTTCGTCCAGTTCTTACTCGCGACAATCTTAAGAGTAGCGTGGCCTCGTCAATTCCGCCCCGAGCAGAGCCCCTCACGAGCTGATTACTTGTACGTTTCATTCTTTCTCCTATTCGATGGCACGCTCCTGCTTTACATCTGTTACTTATCTCAATTCGTTACTTTGACTGTTATGACTTATTTCGAGTTTGCCCTCTTGGTTTCGTACGCATGAATCCTGTATTTGACACCTTGACAGACGCAGAGCCATTCCGACGGGCATAACCACTGGACTAGACATCGGACTATCTAACCTCTCCTTGAAGCTCATTACATTATCTTTCTATAGTGAGTCAGCACTTGATGATCATCACTGTGCCTTGTTTTTATTGTCTACGCGATTGTCCATTCCTTATGTCAGAATCGACAGCTGACCACTTGAATTGCAGCAATGTGTAAATCATCATCACTCATATTCGTCCTCCTGTTCGCTTTCCTGTTCCATCTTGAGCACTTTTCGCTCAGGCTCATCGGCGTTATCGCCCTAATCTTCGCGGGAGTACTGCTGATGGTCGCGACCGAGACGCACTTTGTCCTGCCCGGCTTCCTGCTCGTCATGAGCGGGAGCGCTCTCGGAGGATTCCGCTGGAGTCTCACACAGCTACTGCTCAGAAACAAGAAGATGGGCTTCAACAATCCACCCGCCACTGTATTCTGGCTCGCACCCATCATGGGCGTCACGCTCGCCATCACTACTGTGTTCGTCGACGGCTGGTCGAGGATTTTCAGCAACGCTTTCTTCGACGGAGCCTCGGCATCGCTGCGGACGTGTCTCTTCTTGATTTCTCCGGGAGTGCTGGCCTTCTGCATGGTATTGAGCGAATTCTAGTGAGTGATGGAGCTCGGCCGTCTTCCCAAAGGCGTTTGCCGGCACGGGCGTGTTAACTTTGCCTATCTGCCTCCAGCATCCTCCAACGTGCGGGAGTCGTCCCGATGTCAATAGCCGGCATAGCCAAGGAAGTCACCACTATCAGCATCTCTGCGTGGTTCTTCGGGGATGAGCTGACGCCCCTCAACATCACTGGAGTGGCGATCACAGTCTGCGGTACGTAATTTTCTCAAGGCCGTCTGCCAAGCGACGGAGTCGGGACCGTGTTGATGAACTCAAAATTGCCGTTTATAGGCATTGCACTGTACACTTTCCACAAATACCGTTTATCCATGGACGCGAAGGTGCCCCTTGACGCCCACGGGAACCCGATTGTTGAGGACACGGAGAGCAGCGCGGAAGAGACCGTTGCTTTGCAGGACGACCTATCAGATGAAGGGCTACGCCACACATCAGAACCTGATGCTAGGAGCGGCCTCGATTCGCATCCGGTGTGTATTTGTCTTCCTTCACAGGTGAAGTTCGCGAGCTGATTATTGATCCAATCCGTGGCGTCTACAGGAACAAACTTCGCTCCTTGACCGCGATCTGCTCTTTGATGTGGGCAGTGATGGCGGAGCAGGGTCCCCAGATGCGAATGAAGACGATACAATCGCAAAGCCCAAGGACGCTGAGTTGGCAGCGCAATATCTAGATGATCAGGCGCAGGATCTACATAGAGTGTGGAAGAGAGACGCTGATGCTGTAGTTGACCAGTTGCAGTGATCTGCATTCGGAATTCAGGACGCGTCTCCTACCGCCGGGACGAGGTGCAACGTGCGAAAAGACTGCGAATAGATTGGTCTGTTGAGGTCAGAAGGTATGGCGTCTCGTGTCTGGACTCGGTGCGTGCGTGTGTATACTTTGCTTGGTTTCGGTGGCGTAAATCCGATCGCCGACGCTAGCCATCGTTTTTGCCTTGCGTGCGTATCTATCATCGCGTATGCGAGTTTTCATGCGATTTCGACTGTTTGCGGTGGGCAAGGAGCGATAGCTCGGTCTGCTGCGCCATGCGCTCACCGCTTCCTCCGTGGCCGGCGGACAAGGAGCAGGCTGGTGATGGGGACATCATTTGACTCGATATGTTCACCGCTGCATTCTTGCACAGGGCCTTTCCCTTGCTTCTGTACGTTGTCACTGAGACTTGGCTGTTAGCGCATCTGCAGCTGTGTATGATCGCCGCCGCTAGGCTCGGTTTCGTGAGGGTCAGGTCCGGCAGGCTAGTGATGGCTTGGTGGCGGCGGTCCCGCTCTGCGTTGATCAACCGGTAAAAGCACGGCGAATAGTTGCGTCGTGATAGGTGCCCTTGCTAGGAGGAGGGGAGCTCAGGGTCGATGATCTTCCACCTCGGGAATTCGTTCTGATCCCAAGTGGTTCGTCGTCGGCGGGTAGGAATACCCATGCAGCAGCAGGGCCTGTACCGCTAGGGCGGATGCCGGAGTGTCGGGTCTGCGCTATGAATGCCGCGCAGAGGAGCCAGCGATCTCCGATCGTGCCATGGCATGGGAGCAAAATGCGTTGTAAAATGTAAATTCCCCGTAGCGTGTCGGGCAATGGCCGGAACGCTCGGCACCATCACTGCCCTCGGGGAGCCTATTTCCAATATTCCACGAAATGAATTTCTAGCCGAATGATAATGCAGGGGCACGAACGGTCTGCAGAGGTGATCGTTCCTGCAGCTGGACGTGAGATGGCAGTGACATCGTGGGGCGGAGCGAGGAATCTGCCTACAAGAAACGATCAAGAAGCCACTTGGAAGACGTAGAGACGATTAGCCTGGATTGACGAGATAGTACATGCTCAGGGTCGCAGGAGCAGCGCCTCAACAACGCTTGAGACTGGTCCGTGCATCCCGGTAGATTAGGAGAGAGGACGGCCATCAGGGATCCGGTGCCACCCAGAATAGAACTCCGACGGGGTGACGGCTGTGACCAGGTTCACACGCAGGGAACGCATTCCGTAAGGGACGAGCGCCGAGGAACGTGGTGTAGGGCTGCCAGAGGGCAGACGGGGACCCATGGCAGCTGCTATTTGGCAATCGACGAGCGCCCGTCTGTCTCGAAACACATGTCCCAGCCTGGCGAGGGAGTCCGACCGGAGAAGGCAGCGATTGCATTCACTGATGAAACACTTGAGAGGACATTCAAGAGATATGTAGGGCTGTCGATGTGATCGTCGCCTGGCGATGACACGGAGGGCGCTGAGGCTACAACGAGCAGAGGAAACACGAACTGAGGATACAATATGAGAGTAACGTGCGCCAATGGGAAGAATGCAGGACGGGTTACATAACGCGCGGTGTCATTTGATGTCGCTTAGCCCGCGCCAAGGCTCGAGTGAACTTTCGCACTGCTCGTCACCCCGAAACGGCTCGTCTGCAAGGCTCAACTGTCGATCTCGCAGGAGTCCAGGCTGCCGGCGCGTATCGCTTTTGATGCGGGGCCTTTTCGCATTTTCCCTGCACAGACGCCGCATTGGGCATGCCGAACTGATCATATCCTTCGAGCGTCTCGTTTTCTGATGTGATACCGCAGCGTGCTCTCCCCTACTAGCTTAAATACTCCTGCGTTTGTGTCATGACCATCACACCTCCCCCCGCCCTCGCATTCCACCTCCACCTCCCGCTCATCCATGGAAGAGTTCCACATCGTCTTCGAGGCTCCCCAGGACGGCCAGACTAGGAAGAAGCGTGCTAGGCTCGTAACTTCCTGCGACCACTGGTGCGTCTTCACAGCTTGCCTCGCAACCCACGGCTCACTTTTCTTCGCTCACCCAGCCGCCTCAAGAAAATCAAGTGTGTCCAGTCGCGCAACTCGAGCAAGTGTGCCGCGTGCGCTGCAGCGCGCGTCGCCTGCAAGTACCACGACCGAGAGCAGTACTTTGCCGAGCGGGGCCGTATCATGTCTCGCAACTCGCCACCATCCTGCCGCCAGAAAATCTCCATGTGCGGCAACGATCCGCAGATCTCTATCACCGTTATGGACACCTACCACGATCCGCAAAGCAGCTCTTCGTCCGACGCTTCCAGTCCTTCCTCCAGCGTCACGGACTGCAGCCCTTCTCCCACTTCTGCGTACTCATCCCTGGAGCCGTTTATCCATACGGAGCCATTCGAAGACAGCATTACGCTGTCTCCTCCGCCCTTATGGTCTGTTTGTCCGTATCGTTAAGCTCCCGGTGACTAAACCCCTGGCTTCTATTCTACAGGCAGAGCCCGTGCGATATCCCTTCTCCAATCTATTCCCCAAACAAGACTCCCTTCAACGTTGGCACATGTTCGTATGGCATTATTCCAGAACCTCTGCCTTCCATCCAGCAGTCATCGTATCTTCTCCCCCTCTTTGATCCTCAATGGCCAGATCGGCCACACCAGACGCTCATGATGCATTTCATCCAAACGTACTTCGATCACTATGGCCAGTCGTTCCCGTGCCTTGCATACGATGAAACGGTCCGGCTATTCCTGGAACAGACGCTCTCCCCTCTCATCGCGACTGGTATCGCCGCGCTCGCTGCTTGGTACGTGCCGACCGTTCTTCCATGACGCGTGCATGCATCCTCAACGTGCATCAGGTATTCGGATGTTCCCGAGGTAGTCCGGAGAGGAGCGGCTGACGTCTGCGCCGCTTACTGTTCACATGCTAAGGTGGGCTTCTCCAGCTGAGCCGAATCAGGATGTGGCACTGACGTGGGTGCGCGCAGGCGTTGGTCTCGCGGATGGAACACCTGCATTCCGTCGAGACGGTACACGGGCTCATACTCGTTGCTTGGGCGGAGTATAAGCGGGCACGCATGTCTGAATTCTGCGCGCATGTAAAGGTAACGTTCTTCTTGCCAAGGACAAGCCGCTTCTTGCTCATTTCCGAGCGGTTTACAGCAAGCAAAGCGCATCTCAGAAGAGATTGGCCTGGCCAATGGGACACTTATCCAATTGGCATCGAGTGACTACGAGGAGAGCATCCTTCGCAACACGTGGGGCGTTCTGCGACAATTAGTCACGACGGTTGATACCTGGACTGCGTGAAACTGGAACCGCCAGCGAGACGGCGTCCAGCTGACTTTCACGTTGCCAATCGTGTATCATTAGATGTTAGAGTTCTGTCACGGGCTATTGTATAACCCATTCGCTATGTCCGATTACGCGGGATGTAGACCCTGTCGATCAAAGAGGGCCTTGAATGAATTCAATGGACCTTCGTCACTCCCGCCTTTGTCCCAGCGTCCCAACAATGCAGTCATTGACCAAGTAGCGCCAAGATCAACGCAACACACATTGGCAATCTAGGCGCTGTCAGCGAGTCCGCGCACGCAATATGCACGGCGCAAATGATTGGACCCGGGTAGGACTTTCTGCGCCTTGAGATCAGACACACTAATCTCCAATCTCACGCTATTATTTCCCTTGATAGGGCGAGCTGTCATACATGTACTTGAACAGTCGGTCGGCTCTTTATGCGAACATCAAGCGCGAGTCGGTCGTAATCGGAACCGTCCATACACGCTCGATAAAGGACGTCGTGAGCTTCCCGGCTCTCGACTCGCGTTGCCATCTTTGCGTGTAGCCTGTCGCGGTCGCTGCGTTCGGTAACATCGCTCCGGGGCGTCGCTGCGCGCAGGCACCGTGCCCGGCATGGGTGACGGCACGGCTGTCTTTGATGCGGTCAATCTCTATAGAACATGGGCCCCTCGTTCAATGCATGTGCCAAAGCTGCCAGAAGCCAGCTGCTGGACAGAACCACTCCGATGAATCGAAAGGCTCGCTGGGGTCAAATCACGGTCGCAGCGTACCTGGTCCCTTGGCGGACATTGTCCTCCTCGCTCTTCCGTGCGAGCCAGCAAGCGGCGAAGCGTCCTGTCTTGATGCAGCTAGTCACTAGCCTTTTCGCGTCTCACGTTTGTCGCTGTGTCGGCGGCGTCCGCGACCTTCTCCTGGCGCTCGTCCATCCATGCCGTCTCGCACGTCATGTTAGTCCAGAGAGTGACAGCTGCGCGCTAACTCGGATGGGTTCCCATTCGCAGGAATTTGCTACCTTTGCGCGCCGAGCTTCGACATCTACACGTGATCCTGATGCGTGCGCTTCTGTGGAACGATGAGGGAAGCCCCGCCCAGGCTGCTGCTGCAATCGGAATCGGTGTTGCTCTGGGTGCGGGCGCGAGCTGCACTGCACCGGGCCGCTCTTTCCTGCGATGGGCCTCGTTTGGATCACGACAAAGGCAATTGAAATCACTGGCTAGAAGAAATTTGAATACCGCTCTCGACGCGGGACCGTCAAAGGCCCAGCGGCGCAAACATGCACTCGAATCAGCGTTTTACATCAGAAGTAAAGAAGATGGCGAAACAAAATTTCCAGGGAATCATGCGGTGCCTTGCGTGCTACACAAATTGTGCCCTCCACTCAATCCGCACACGCTCTTTCTGATGGCCGCGGCGCTCAAAATCCAACCGTGCTGTGAGGCCGATGATAGTAACGGTGATGGTGATGGCCCGGCTGCCTGACTATTATCGTTGACCCTGCAGTTGATGGGTACCCAGCACCGTAGTACCCTCCAGGTTGCATGTATCCGGCGCCGTAATATTGCGGAGTGACGCCATTCATTGGGTAGCCAGTGGCAGTATATGCGCCAGGGAACGCGGAGTATGAGCCGGCGGAGGGGTAAACGGCGGCCGAAGGGTATGCTGCGTATCCGCCGTACACGGTTCCTGGTGCATAGTACGATCCTGGCACTGCTCCATAGCTTCCAGGAAGCTGTGATGCACCACTGTATGGTGATGACGTGCCCGCACCGCTGATGTAGGGGGTCGCAAGAGACACCTCCGACCTCCACGGACGATAGGATCTGGGTTCTCCGTAGTAGCTGCCAATATCAAGAACCTGATCGAGCGCATCACGCGGTGTGATGTTACCATAGGCCCGTGCCCTGATAAAAGAGAAGCGAACGCACCCTGTCTGCGATACGCGAAGCAGTTGCCGCTGCGACTTCCGACGCTTCTCTCAGGCCGATCTGGTCAAAGGACCGCCCGGTGTACTGCCATAGATGGGTGGCTGTATGCGCTATTGGTGAGAACGCCTTGGCGGAAGGTGAAATGGGGGCACATGCCTTCTGCAACGGCCATAGCGATCATCGCCTCTCGTTCCATCTCAGGGCTTCCGCCAAGAGGCTCGTACAAAGGATGATGGTACTTCCAATAGCGATATGCCTCGTACGCCGCTGCGCTTCCGAGGTCTATTGGGAGCACCTGGGCGACGTTGACCTGGACGCGCTTGAATCAGGGACGAAAGGCCGTCAATGTAAATCTCAAGCCGCTTACCAGCCCTCCGTAAATTTGACGGTGCCAGTGCCTGGCCTCGTGAAAATTTGCACCCCAGGCGACGCGCAGCCGACCAATGATGGACTGGTAGAAGTCGCTGCAATCATGCCAAAGCATGTGATGCTGAGTCGAACAATTTGATATGGATTGTAGAGCGGAGTGTACACGCACGAATTATCATATGCCGCATGGGCACGATAGTATTCCAGTCCGCTCCCTGGTGAAACTCCGCTGTCAGTGCGACAGGCCGCATATACGGGGTGGGCCTTACGTACAAGACGGTTGAGGCCGGTATGACGGGAGAGGTGGAGCGGTGAATTGATACTAGGTGCGAACAGAGGATCAATCAGAGGATCAGCGAGATCGTTAGACTCGCGCGCGGTGTACACACCTGTGGGGTACCCCACAAACCTGGAGCGGACGATTGATAGTATGCGTAAGCCATACTTTGTTACCAATAGTGGGAACGAGAGTGAGTTATATGATCGCAGGGAATCGGCTTGCAATGGTCTCGGTCGGATGAATCTTTACCGCGTGACCATGCAACTTCAGCCACCTCGCGGCGTCGAGAAAATACTCCGCACTCCGCTATGGCTATGAACACTGTCACGTCAACAAATGCAATTGCACGGCCTCCGCGTCGGAGTTCGAGGTCATCCACAATTGTTGATCCTGACGTGCGAGTCTCGTTCTGCAGGCCTGTATGTCGACTCGTACTAATGTCCAGAGCAAAAGGAACGTTTTGACAGCAGGCAGAGAACGGTGTAGAACGAGACGTTGACGGCTGGACTGCGAGGGCGCTGGGCCTTCACGGATGCGAAAACCACGCTGCGCGACTGATCATGATCTGATATCTAACTGGTGGCGGTGCATGTCACGTGCATAAACGCGATTGTGGCTCACATACATAGTTCCAGCTGCATTGCAGTGGCAGACTTCGAAATGACGGAGAATGAGGGATCGTCGGATGGCATGTAAGTGGTGCGGGAAGAGAAGCAGGATATCGATGCTTCCGCTTTGAATTCACTACGGGTCCGAGGCACTGTAGGCGCGCGGCCCCGGGATTACTTTAGTACTTGACGCTCGAACGCCGGTTAGACTTCTCGCAGATAGAACTCTAATCTTACATGGCGAAGTGTCTTGCGAATGAAGGTGTCTTGCGAACGAACATGTGAGCGTAATCGTCATGCCAGCCTTCAAGGCTATTGTCGACGATTTGGCAACGAGACTGACCCAAGTAAACCCAGTTTATGATCATTCCGTCAGTCTCCATACTTCCATGATTCTGTGCAGAAACGGTCTTTGGGCATTCTTCCGCGAGCAAAAGAGCAGGGTTGAGCATGTGAAATGTTTACAATTGACCGTACGACAATGACGGTGGTCCAATTTCACGTCGGCCGCGAATGAACTCACAGCCGGTCGACCGGTCAGGCAAGGCACAGCGTCCGCATCAACTTTCAACATCAGTTATCGCCATTTAGGCCATCATTTTGATGCGCCAAAGGATGCAACCCGCAAATCATTGCAACGAATCAGCCGGTTGCATTTGTAGATCATTGCATGGCCGAGGGTTGCGGGTGTGAGTTCTGCGAGGCGTCAGAAGGTGGCTTCGGAGCTGCTTGACGCGGTATCGAAGAAGGTCAGTAGAAGAGTGCACCATATGCACCATATGTGGCATTGATATTGAACGTCGGGACCAGCGTGTGCCTGGATACCGACCAAACCGACGGGTGTCCGAGGTGTCGAGCACGTTCGTGTGGGGTCGCTTACCGGCAATGTCACCAGAACCTTATGATATCTCGCAAGGCTTACGAGACCGTCCACAATAGTGGATTGTTCGCGTGGTAGAGCGTAGTCTGGATCATGATTTGTGGACGAATGAGGACTGCGCACTTTTCTATGATATCATTTGTGCGTAAGCAAGTCCATGCAGAGAACCCACGACACATTCCGTGCATCAATGGCCCCTTGCTAGTGGAAAACTCCTTGCGGAGGAAACAATGTAAGGATCCCATGCTTGTGGATGTGGCGCTACGGACAGAACATGAGTAAGACACCGAGGGTTGGCCGCAGCTTACAATTGCATCGCATCATCGTGCACAGCAGAGGTGCTATCAGTGACGCGGGGCCATCCATCCACAACAAAATTAGGGTTGCAGAGTGGCAGATAACGGGCGTCCAAAGATACACTAGTACATTCTGTGTATTGCTCGCGAAAACGGTAGAAAGCACGCCTGTTGCCCCATAGCGTTTGGTCGATTTCAGACCCGATTGTGAACCTCCCGGAACTCCGGGGATTTGGACGGCAACATTGCCATCACGGTGACGATATCGAATGCATGTAGCCTCATGTAGCCAGGTGACAATTTGCGCAGAGGTGCACAACATGTGAGTGGAACTACAAGGTGGAGTTCCTGCTTCCAGAGATGCGGCTAGGTTCTCATAACGTATCGAGACATCGTAGAGCGTCACGCAATCCGTAGAGTTCGCAATTCTAAATAGTCAGGTCATACTGTAGCCAGCAGCTCGACAGACACATCGGAAGATGTACATTCAGTAGCAGAGAGCAATGCAGACGCCGCTGTCAGGGCGCCCACAATGCGCATTGCACGTGGCGCGCATATGCGCAATTACACAGGCGCCCATCCGTATCCCAACGTTGACCGTAACCTTGCACGACTGTCTCACGTCGCGCAAGCGCACCTCCTGTAGGGCTATAGACTGGATTATATTGATGCTACATTCGTAACCACATCATACAGTCTGGGATGTCCGGTTTGTCCGCCTAACTCCAGTCAGCGGTCGAACGCACTCATGACTTACCAGCGTGCAGACTATGCCGTCTTCGCGCATCCCGAGTTCGATCCAGACGATTACGCAAATGCCATTCTGGCCGGAGAGCCATACCCACCGCAAGCTGGGAAGACCAAAGCGGGCAAGGGCCCCAGCCTGGAAGCAGCAAACGAGGACTTGTCAGTCGCCATATCGAAGCTGAACTTCTCTATTGAGGATGTTGAGAAGCAGCTGAAGAATGTGGTGAGTTCTATGTGGTTATGGAAGTCTTCTCATGTGTGGAACGTCAGACCACAATGCTCCCAGGTCACTACACATCATGAGGAGTTGCTGGTGCAGGCCGCCGGAGTGACTGAGCTCGAGACTTCGCTCTCATCAGTTCGAGACGGGCTCAACGAGCTCGATTCGTCGTATGAGAAGTAAGTCCCAATGCCTCATTTAGCTCCGTGCAGTTTACCATATCTAGCATTCATTCAGACTGAGAACGAAGATCCGGCTGCCATATCAATCGCTTCAAAGAAATGTTTCCAAACTTGAACGCATCCAGCAAGCATCAGACATCCTGCGCCGCGTGTCGCGTTTTGTGATCCTAACTCGACGGTTGGAAGTACAGTTAGCGGATATGAGCAAGGGAGAATCCTCTGATACGGAGACATCAACCGCCGTATCCAAGAAGGACCAGTCCAAACCGAACGAGTCACCGCTCGCCCTTATACAGCCTACTGAGTTGATATCTGTTGGAGAAGGAGAGGACGAGAAGGAGCGGACCATAGCAAAGGCTGCATTGACGATCGCTGAACTGAGTCAGTACATTTACATCTTTATTCTGGATAGCCCGTCGAGTTCTGACACGCCTGCCCTCTGAATGTATTCACATCAGCTTCTCTTCTTGGAAGCTCATCGTCAGACCTTCAGCCGCGGGACAACTCAGACGTTGATAATACATCGGAGGATCGGGGCGGTACGATAGTGTTGGGTTCCGTGAAGGCCGTGGCTGCTCGTTTGCCATACATTGAAGCTGCACGAACACGTGTAACGGCAGATATGGAAGCAATGGTCATGACAGGACTCGCGGAATCTGTACGTATTTGCCATTGTTCCTAGTCTAATGAACACTGAAAGGATTCGAACCGTCTAGAACCAGTCTCTTCTCGCATCCTCCCTTCAGACCGCACACAACCTTCGTGTGTTGCCAATCCTGGTGCAGGAGCTCATCAATGATCTGGCAGATGCAGTTGAGAGTAGAATCCGGTACGCGTTTGACATATCGCGTATTTCTAAAGATGTCCTCGCGAAAGGTACGCCCTTCTTTCGATGTTCCCATCTTGGTGCCTGTAGCATATCATGATTGTGGTTCTCCGCAGAGTCTAATGCGACGTCTCAGGGACTAATGTACAAGTCCCGTGTACGGACGGAGCCAACCAACGTCACGGCCCCTCAATATGCTGCTGCTCTCTGGGCTAGCCTGGAGAACCTCGTAGAAGAAATGACAAGCTGCTGTATCAAAGTAAGTTTTCATGTATCATTACGCACAAGCGTGCTTCTCGGCATGCGTGTATCGAGCCACACTTCTCATCACGCCCAGGTCTATGCTCTTGAGAACGTTCTCAAGCTAAAACGAGACCCTACAAGCCAAATCGTCTTCCTGGACGAGGCGATGAAGGTTCGTGCGGTTCCGTCGCAGTTGGTCGCCGGTAATAACGGGGCATTTGCCTCATCTATCAACGACCGCAACTTTGATCGCTGCCATTCATAGACGCTCGAAAACAAGCCAAGTGCTATCTTTTGGTATGCGCTCGGGCGTTCACTTGAGAAACATGCGCGCGAGTCGGCAAGAGGTCCGATGATTCATTATTGTCCAAGTCGGACTGTAGGGAAGAGTATTAGCTGACACCGGTTTGGCAGCCTCTTCCTTCATCCAGCAAACGCTCAGCACGGGATACCCAAAACTGCTCCGACTCTTCCATTCCTTCTTTGCCAAGATCGCCGTGCAGACCGATACTGTCTACACGCAGTCACAGCAGAGGTAACTCAGACACTCTACTCTTATCTTCCTTTTTTGGCCAATCTCGTGCTCATCCCTTTGTCACGCAGCCCGGAGACGGTGATTGTGCTGCGTGCACTTTCGAACTTCGAGTCTCTTTATCTGTCCCGCTCGTCCACTAGGCTAAACGAGGTTATCTCGCAAGCATTTGCGGGCGGGACGCGGGCGCCGCCCGGTCTGTCGGAGGGCCTGAATGTCGCACGGACCGTAGCAAACGAGCTCGACTCGGCCAAGTTCGACCCGCTGCTCGTACGCTCCGTGGCGGAACGCGTCGCATCGGCGCTAGAGGTGTTCGTCTCGCGGGCGGATGGCATGGTGAGTCATAGTGTCTCGCATAGTAGGCGGAATATTTCTTGGAGACCTCAGTCGTGTCGCTGTCGCCACGGGGCCATCGACAAAGCCTTGACATCTCATATCCAGTGGGAAGCTTTGTGGCTGTTGCGGATCACTTGTTATCGCTCCTCTCGCTTCTTCCCGCACTGTCGGCATAATGAATGCGAGAGGATCAGGGCCGCCAGCAGCTTCCGATCATTTCTAGTACCGATAACGGCAGCATGCTGCGCGCTGTTTTCGCTACGCATATATGCACTAGCGCGCGCTGTATCATCTACGCATCCGACAGTTCTATGTCTTCAGGGGAGGTTTTGTTTTCACGTGTACCGACAGCATATGATCTGACGGGTCATGGGTTGCCGCTCAATGTGGTCACGGACAGCTAATTAACCAGAGCGGAGTTGACGGCTCGTGCATCATTTTGTTCGTTGCTGGCGCGCGTGGGTGCTATGCAGATGGCACTGATAATCAATCTCCGTAGGTTGCGCGAGAACGGTCCGCAACGTCGTTACTAGGACCCTCGGCTACACCGCAGCAAGCACTCAATGGCCAGCTGGCGACCTGCTTGTATTATTGCTATTCCCGCCTCGAGAGACTGCAGGACGAATACCCTGATGGCGTGTTCGCATACGTTCGGCCCGGGGTCGGGGTAAGTGCCTCGCGTTCCGCTCTCCCGCTGATTGCACCCCGCTGACACTTGCGCCCATATCCTCCCCCTACTCTGGCCGCACCCGCCTGGCCTGACTTGCAGGGCATCAAACGTATCTTTGAGCGCATTGTCGACCCGCTGCTTGCGGCGGTGCGCCGGGAGCTCGGCGCGATAATCGCGCGGCTGCATCGCATGGACTTCAGCGATGCGGGCGGCGCGAATCCACTGTCTGCGATGGGCGGGGGACCGAGCCCGTACATGAAGGACCTCGTCGAAAAACTGGCATTTGTCAAAGGAGAGGCGCTCGCCCAGATCAACGTTCCCGAGCTGAGCCGGCAGTGGTGAGTCTCCGACCCCGTGTCCCTCTACCTGCCTGCCCTTCCATATGCCCAGTGTTATCCGGAAGAACGCTGACTCATGTGTCATCGCGCAGGGTCGTCGAGCTGGTCAAGTTTGTGATCAAGACGTTCGTGCTGCACGCGTCGATCGCCAAGCCGCTGGGAGAGAGCGGGAAGCTGCAGCTCACGAGCGACATGACGGAACTCGAGTTTGGACTGAGCGCCTTCATGGCACAGCCGGGAAAACGCGGGACCGACTGGGAGAGCGTCGGGGAGGAGTACCGTGCGCTCCGCGCGATGCGGTACGTATCTATCGTTCACACACGGAACCCAGCGTTCCGCTAACGCATACCATCCTTATATGCAGGCAGCTGCTCTTTCTTGAGAACTCGATGCTGGCGTCGTCCTCGCACACGGCGGGCCTCCCGCCGCTGATCGTGCTGCATCACATCCTTGTGCGTTCGCCGATCCCACTGCCGCACACGCTGCACGGGTGGGCCGAAGCGGAGTACGTGCGGTGGGTGAACGAGCACTCGGAGGAGGAGGCGTGGACGCTCGTCGAGGGCGACCTGAGCCACTGGGAAAAGGTCTCCGCGGACGAGGGCGCGGACGCCGCCGACGAGTATGTGCAGCTCGCACGGGCGGTTCTGGCGCACGCGGCGGCGCGGGAGGGCCCTGTTAGCCAGACGCCCGGCCCTGGATAACGAAATTAATTAATGTACGCATAATGTAAGCGTGCTTGGGAGACTGGTCTAAGGAGTTGCTTTGTCGGGCGCGAAGGTTGGCATTGGACTTTTAAGGACTAAGCTGGTGCTAAATGTGCCAAGGTGCGAGATCGGGATCGGGGGCTTGTCCCTCCGATGAATGTCGCAGTGGCGTTTGCTGAACTTCCATGTATGTACCAAGGCCTGTGATGGCCGGCCTGCTCTCTAAGGCTGGGAAGATGCCGAATTCATTCGTAGGGCGGTGGCGTTAGCTCGCTCTCAGCGGTACCGTGGTGGTATGGCGGATCTAGTTCATGCGGGGAGCGAGTCCGCGAGGGGACGGATGAGAGATGCGGAAGCGGTATCAACGCTCAAAATGCGACTGTGATATGTCAAGGCACGAATGAATATTGAATGCCAGCAGGCCGATGTGAACCGGAAGTTTTGTGAGCTCGCTCGTATCCGCCGCGGAGCAGCCGACAAGGATCACCGCGGGCCAAGGCATTGGAGTCCCCCACACAGCACTGGTGGTGCCCGACCAAGCAGGGGTGCTCTTGCCAATCACAGCGCTGGCGATGCGAAGTGATTGATGCTCCAACGCCCTCCGACGGTAACGGCGCGCCCATAGCATTATTGCCCGCCGTCGAGGGCGATTTGGTCGTGGCGCTGACGCACGATCACCATTGATAGTTCGACGAGCGCAAGTTTCGTCAGAATGGGATACGCAGTGATGAAATGTGTTGTGTGTCTGTGACATTAATCGTTGATATGGACGCGCTTGGAGGACGGAGGGCACTTTCGTTACCCGATTCAGGTCCATACGAGGATTGACCGTGTCAGCTGGAGATCTTGTACACATGCACCATGTATTGACCAAAGGCGGAAGACATGCAGAGTACACAGCGCACTCTGGGAGCACCCTCGTCAATGTCACAACACATAGCAGCATGCGCTGTATCCAGAAGGACGTACTCAAACCCAAGCGCTAAGATTAGTTTGTGATTAGCCCACTGCCTCCGACAAACCCCCCCACGAACACAACTTGCAACCAATTGCGCACTCGCGCACTAGCCTCTTGCGTCGTTGACCTTCATGGCACTGGTGCTGCCCGAGCGAGAGAGCAAGCGTGCTCTTGCCAATCACAGCGCTGGCGATGCAAGATGACTGATGTTCCAACGTCCTCCGACGGTAACGGCGCGCCCATAGCATTATTGACCGCCGTCGAAGGCGATTTGGTCGTGGAAGTGATACGCGATCGCCACCGATGGCTCGATGAGCGCAAGTTTCGCCGGGATGGGATACGCAGTGATGAGATATCTTGTGTCTGTGACATTAAATGTTAATTTGAACGCGCTCGAAAGGACCGAGGGCAATTCGTTGCCCGATTCTGTCCATGCGAAGATTGACCGTGTCAGCTGGATGTATCGTATACGTGCAACGTGTGTTGACCGAAAGGCGGAAGATTAGCAGAGTACAAGACGCACTTTGGGAGCGCCCTCGTCAATTTCACAACACAGCGGCATACGTTGTATCCAGAAGAGACACCAAAATCAAGCACTAAGACTAGCCCGTCGGTAGCCCGCTGCCCCCGATGGCATACCACACACTATCTCGCAAATCCCCCGCGAACACAATTCGCAACCAACTGCGTACTCGCGAGCAGCTAGTCCCCTGAGTCATTGAGCATTTCGGGACGGTCGCTGCTCCGCCGCTTCCGTCTGATATCAAAGTGTGTGGACAGATGCTCGTGTCCGCTAGAAGATGCGGCGTCCATGCGGCGAGAATCATAATACAGCGGCGGGCGAGCAATGTGGTTCGCGAAGGATGGTGGCGGCGGTGGGCGCGTATGGCGTCTAGGCTAGACGCTAAGCGCTGAGCGCTGAGATCCTCGGAGAGCCCAGCTGGAAGTGGGCGCGCCGCGCCATCGGAAGGGCTCTCTGATGATGGATTAATGACCCCTCTAGCGCGCGGCCTCCGGGCCACTCGAGCTCGCGAGCGATCGCGATGCCGTCGCGACTGATGATTCAAATATCCAAGGTTTTAATTTGAATGCTCACCCCCCACAACACGTTGGCGCGTCGAAGCGTGAATTTAAAGGGTTTTTGCTGATGCATAGGCCACGGGATTCGCAATCTTGATGTGGGGAAGGTGATGGGTGATGCCCGTAGAGGTGGGCTTGCGGGGTAGGACCAGAGCAAGGGAAAGCGGGAGGGGGAAGGGGGAAAGTCGGGCTCCCAGTTCCTGAGACCGTTAGATTGATGGTGACTTCGAGCAGGCAATGAGCATCTGTCCCCTCTCAGATCTCAGCTCGCAGCTTTGCTTCATTAATTGGCTCAGCGTGTTCACCACATCCAGTGTGCTCGGCTCACCTCGAGGCGCATCGTACGGTGCTCGTCTCCCCCTCGTGATAACAACCACTGCTTCTCAGCGCCCGGAGCGTCCGACTCGTTCGTATGCCGTACGTCGTAGTCAGGGTCACGTTCGGCTACCCAACCCACACTAGTGGCCCTCGAGATCGACGGCACCAATGGCGGTGTGTCCCATGGCGAGGCGTACTCGGGGTATGAGGTGCAGGCTACTCGGTGCTGAACACGAAGATCCATAGTATGTGGTGAGCCCGTCCCCTGATGCGACGCCTGGACGCGGGCAACTTCACGGAGATGTTGGATATCTACACCTGATATCAGCCCTTCAGTGTGTACGTTCTGGTCGGGAAAGGGAAAAGAGGGGTAGAGTACAGACAAGCGCGGGTTGCATGGGTGAGTATGCTTCTGACCCTCTCCCAAGGCCCGGTCCGAGCACCTATACAGCGCTCCGTCCATGTCACCGAATAACTCTAGTTGTTCTAGTTGTTTGCCGACATAGCACCATCTCGGAAGGATTCGTGTGCGGCGAGTATGATGTACGGTAGACGCGTTCTCGGCATCGTCGATTCGTGTATCACGCCCTGCACACGTATTCGCCGCTCATCCTCCGCACTGGTCGCCAAGGCATCGGGCTCAGCTCCCCACCGCGTTTGGCGGTAGTAGCTAGTCCCTGCGGCAGAAGAACTAATCCCTCATTTCCGTCATCGTGATAATGCAGACGCATGGCAATGAAATTGAATGAATCACGCACCTCTCCATTTCGAGTCCGAGCGGGATTCGACTTTCAGCATCCCGTGTGGTCACTAGCTGAAGTCGTGCTAGATCCCGCGCATCGCATACAACGAGCATATCGGTTGTCCTTAGGAATCCTCGTCCTAGCAGTCGTCAATGATCGTGGCGGACAGCCGTTTAACTCCGCCAGAAGCAGAACGCGCACAATCCTGCTTAGATCCGTGTCTTCCATAGGACAAAAAATATTGCTACTGCCGCCACGCTCTTCCATACATTCTAGCACCGTTGAGAATAGTAGTCAAGCGCAGGCCCTTTTTCACAGCGCGACAAAGCAAGAGGATCGGCGAGACGACCGTCAATAACTCGAAAAGGTTCCGCGGCGCGTCGTGGGGCGAGCACGTGGCTGTATCAACGTTGATCGAGTTGCGCGCGGAAGCAAATCTCAGGAACACGTGCTCCTTTTCCTGAGAAACGCTCGCGGCGATGGCCCTCCCCAGCTAGCATTCATCACGTCCCTTCTTCCTGTCTGTTCTGTCCAACAAGCATTTTAGATTTTTTTGCTGGCCAGGCTGCATAGCAGATTCGAACGATGGGGGATGTGATGTGTTGATTGCCGTGCGGTGGGCATCTGTGAAAGGAAATCGTGCGCTAGACAGTCGGCACTGATGCGAGGCAGACTTACGCCCTTGGTGTGTCTTTCTAGCGGCGCTAGAGCCCTTAACGCGATATTGAGGTTCGTTACCCTAGCGCTTATAGTGATTGGTCAAAATACTAGTCTGATTGCCCTGAAAAGTAGAAGTTCAGGGTCCTATGCGCACCGACAGCAAGCAAAGATGGCGGGGCATTGTCCTCGGGGTGTACTAAGACGCATCCGCCCGAGGTCGCCCGCCAGCTTTGGGGTGGGTCCGATGCCCTGGTGGGACCTGGGCTGGCCGGTGCGCGTGGATGTCCCCCTCGTCCCCCTTCCCTCCCTACCTTTCAGTCTGCTTGATGGGGCACCGCGCGTGTACAGATTGGGGCACTCTTGGGGTCCACCACTCAACTAACCCACCAAGAGGCTCCGCATTACGGTCATTCTCGCCCTCGCGCTCTCCGTGCCCGTTTCGCCTAGTCGTCAGCTCACATGCTGTGAGCAGTGCGACACAGGCAAGCTCATGCGCTGCGACTCCCTCGCGCATCCTCAGCGCGGTTGGCTTGTCGTGCGACGGCGGCGGCGGCCTTGGCGACGGCAGTACTTGCTGAGTCTCCGTGTCCATGTGAAGACCTGGGTGTCGCGTAGTGGCTGATTGTATGCGTGCATATTCACGTAGCACAAACTCGCCGGTCTGCTGCGAGCACGACGCCTTTGGCGGTGGGTGTTTCAGAGATGCTCGTATGTATGCGTGCTGATATATTTGCAAGGCGTCATCGCCATCGGCTGCACTGTCATCTCCTTCTACATATGAACAGATGCTCGCGCTGTACCATTCCCGACTCGACTATCATTATCATTCGCTTTCGTTTGTTATCCCTAATCTTTCGCCCTCACTATGCAGATATTGTTGTCGAACCTTTCACCGCATGAAGGAGATGCTCCACGTATGTATGACCGATGTTGTACACATACTTTGCCAGATTGTATGTTAGTGTCCGAGTACCATTTGCATACAGGCTGCAATGTATGTTTCTGTATAATTTCCAGCATAGGTCAGACATACCTGTTCAGAGTCAAGAAACGTCTGATCTGCGGACTACTGTAGTGCACCAGATTCCGCGAATGTCATTCTCGCCTTCGACGATACCTTGCACATCGAGCCATTCGTACATACGATACCGCGAAAAAATATACGGGCAAATAATTGTTGTCGCGAGATGCTTCGGTGTCAGAAAATAACCCATAATATCGGCGTTGCAATGATGATCCCATACTTGTCACTCGTTAGTCTGTTAGTCTCTTCTTAGTTAGTTGTCAACATTGAACCGGTCAGCGAGATCGAGCTCTGCCGACGAGAATCTAGGTTCAAAGTCCGTAGGTTCGTATGCCGACTGGGAACGTTAGTGCGTGCTCGAACCCTCCGCGGTTTCGTTTTCACCGGGCTCCTCATGAAGAAGGGGTAGCGTGACGGGCTGAGGGACGATGGGCCCGCCGCTCGGGTGGAGGTACGCCATGTCGGCCTCCGCAGTTGACAATGCTATTCCCCCATGTCTGTAGAGATAATATGAGAACATATCTACACAAGAGGTTGACGCAACCTACTTCTGGCGGTAATGCTCGTTGACCCCCTGTAGCGTCGTAAAATCCTCTGCACGTGGAGTGCACTGCGAGCAGCACCAGAAGGGCTTCTCGGCGGTCTGCGCCTCCAGACCCCACCTCTCGTGCGCCTCATCTTGTATCGCGTCTTCGATCTCTTCGGCTGTTGCAAGCCTGAATTGCGGCATGGGCGCGCCCTCCCCACAGCCAACGGTTATCTCGACCTGCCAGGGCGGTCAGTCACATGCTGGCCACCGCGCACGCGAGAACGGAACGTACCGCTTTGCGCCACCTCATCACCATTGTGCGACCGTCGACGCAGGGGCAGGCGTATCTGATGTCGTACTCATCCATCTCCTGTGCGGTGGTGCTGTCCGGGTCCCAACCGCACATCTCAACCAGCGCACGCAACTGATGCATGTTGGGTGATGCAGCGACGCGAGAAGCTGACCATACCGGTGGGACCACCCGACCGTCGAGGAAGACGTCCTGTTCGATGCCGATGCGCTCCGCACGCAGACAGATATGTGCGAGCACGTATCGGTGGAAGAGGATCTGCAGGCATTCCGTGCACCAAAAAGTGACCACGGCGAGCTCGAGCACGTCGACGCCTTCAGCGGCAGACACGCCGGGCAGCAGGTTTATGAGCTGCTCGGTGGCGTGCTGTTGCCAGTCCATGGAGTGGCTGAGAACAATTTTACGCAAGGAGGAGAACATGTACGCAGGGATACTGCATGAAGTGGGGGCCTCGATGAGTGCTCTGATCTCTGGGACGTACGGAAGGTCGTGTGGGAGCAGGCGGTACGCGCATGCTGCCGTCCAGGGAGGAGCGGACAGTAGTTGGTTTGACACCTGCTGTAGGATGCACAAGCGCACTGTGATCGTCAGATCATGCTCCACGCGGGTGTGCACATCCCTCTCCCGCTGCATACGTGCATCCCTCTCCTGCTGCATACGCGCATCCCTCTCCTGCTGCTCGCGTGCATCCCTCTCTATACGTGCATCCCTCTCCTGCTGCATACATGCGCGAAGAGCACCGCGGATCTTGATCCATCCTTCAAACGATATGTGCAGTTAGGATAATTGGCCAAAGTGATCACCAGCGCGATCACGTACCTCGTTCAGTGAGCGGCCTTGGAATCCACGAGCGATCACATTTCTCCAGTTTCAATCTAAGGGTAAAACTCCCATTGTCCAACTCATCTCCCCATCCGTCGTCACGCAAACGTGCGACAATACTGTACGTACGTCATAGATGAGACCAAGACACCAATGAACAAAAAATGGACACACGCTTCGTAGCGTTCACGCCTGATCTCATAAAATTCCGTTGCTCGAGCACTGAGCTGCTCTTCATGCCATTCACGGCATGCCGCTGCATGCTATTCGTATCATATATTCAGTTTCCACTATCATATTAAAAACGTGAACTCAACTACCTCTGCAATGCGCCTTGTTTTCTCCGAAAACTTCGATATGAGCTGTTGGCGTGACTGCTCGTCCTTCGGCAGACCGTTCCAAGCATCGACGAAGCACTCCAGTTGCGGCCTATGATAGAGTTCGCCGGAGGAGCGGAATTGGACCTGCATGCCCACAATGAATATACGAGCAGTGATTGACTTCATTCGGTATTATACCTTGTTGAAAATCTCCGATGGTAGAGATCTGTCCAGCATCGCTATGGTATAAGAATGCTCGCGCTGTGGGATGGCCCTGTAATAACGACAATCATCGACAATGTCACAGGCTGTGTCGTGGTCTGACGTACATGTCATTCTTGCACGCCTTACAATAGCGCACGGAAAACTCCCACAGCACCGAATTGATGCTGCCCTTGAGGCATCTCTAGAGGGCGACATTGAGCAATAGATCACGAATGAGCACGTAAGCCAGGGACGTACATGGCAGTGTGAAAAGAAAAGCAAATTGGCATACGCGGGCTCGCTCAGATGCTCCGGACAGTCCGGCAGCCCATCGATCAGGCTCCGCGAGCTTTTCCAGATGTGCATTGATTTGCGACTCATTAAGAAACCATGGAATGGTTTGGTAGCCCTTGCCAGATTCAAGAGGCCTTTGGGATGTAGAAGTTTGAGGATCTGGGTTATCACAATCCAGCTGTCGTAAGAAACGTCGGCGCGAGGGCCAGTAATTCGACGAACCTCAAATAGTACATCATCAGGCATCTCTAGCAAGTCTTTCAGGCCACCTCGCCTCCCTCGCAGTGCACGGCGTGGAGCAACTTGGATGGCAAGGCTCTCTTTTGTCGTGCCATCCATCGCGGTATCGCTCGCTCTTGCGCGCTTCTGTCGACGTGCCGACATGCTTGCGACAGACTCTGCATACAAAGCTGAGACCCCAAGTATGTGAGTGTTGAGGATGGGTTGAGATGTTGCATCGGATTATCGGCCACATAACCGCACGTTTTGAGCCACGCCGTGTTGATACGCGCGTGTGTTAGTGACAGTGAGCGCGACAGTTGAGTTAACGTTGACAGCACGTGGACTCAAGCATCCAAGTACGCGTCAATTTCGGAGTTCGAAGCGACTTTGCATTCTCTGTCCTGAAATATGCACGGGACTGACACATCGATTTGCCCGTTGCCTTGTACCCCTCTATTCCAATCCATAAACATCCAGAATTCCAACTTCTCCTGCCATGAGGCCCCCGGCACTGATATACTCTAAGAACGACTATCATCATACGTCAGTATTGAATATTGAGGACTTAGAGAGCGGGACCAAGTAGCGAACCTCGCATCAACGTGCCACTGTGGTCGGGTGTTTACTCGAGTTGCCGGCGCCGCGTTTGGTAACGAGGGAGTATACGCGAGCTCGAACATTCTGCCTCCGCGTTCGCGTCTTCGACGAGCCAGCGCTTGAGATGTGGCCTTCGTCGGCGATGACCTGAATTATTTAATTTGAAATGGTCGTCTGAAGTAGCAGGAAGGGGGTCAAGGAGCGGTCAGCTGCCGAAGCAACGACAAAGAAGTATGGTACCCTCGCTCGAACGATGTCAGTGCTTGCTTCCCGCCTTGGCGTTGTCTGCGCATAGTCACCTTGCGTTCGTCGACCTTGGTCTACGAATGTGAGAATCATAAATACCACGAACAAGGATGGACGTACAAGGGCACCACCCTCCATACGGCCGGCGTCCCACCGGAGACGCTACGCCGTGCTCACTGCCCCTTGAGTAATTGTCCTCCATCTAAACGCAGCCCATGAAAGATAATGGACGCGCGAGACAATGAGAACATACCTTGACACGGAGTCTGACCACCCCCCGCCCCAGAGCAGTACTAGCTCATCGGGGTAGTGGGTGAAGAATGTTGGAGAGGATGGGCGGGTTTATATATGGCTGTCAGCCTCTCGCCGATCGCGATCTCGCTGCCAGACCAAGACGACGTCAGCCATACAGCCCATGCACGATCTGCACTGACTCGTACGTATTAGAATCCTGACATAATCCTAGTACTTTGTCGCAAATAAATCGAAGAAGCCGGAGTAACATGGCTGCGAGTCGTCACCGTCACATAAGATGAGCGTACCCGACGACGACTCTCATTTTCCCCGCGAAAGGTAGTTGATTCACAGCGATTCACAGGACCCAAATTGACTGATCCCAATATGAAGAGGAGGGAATCAAGACCGGCCGAGATTCGATGGGACCGCCACTCGGATGAAGTATGCGTTGTCTGAGTCCTCCGTAATCAGGAAAGCTATGTCGCCGTGGTTATAGAAATAGTGAGAAGCCATTTATACATGCGTTACCACATTGGACGGCTCATCTCGACCCATAGTGCCCGTGCACCTTGAGTAGTCATCCTCGGCTTAGCCCAGAATGACGATGGACGAAGAGATGATGACGAGAGAATACCTTAACGCGGAGATTGACCACCCCCGCCCCCAAGAACAGTGCTATCTCGTCAAGCTGGAGGCTGAAGAGCGTTGGCGGAATGGACGAGTTCATATTTGTGGCTTAATCCGCTGTCGACCTCTTGTCCGCGATCTCACCGCCAGCCTGAACTGGAGCAACGTCAGTCGCAGCTGCCAACCTACACGTCCTATCCGAATTTCGCATGACAACGGTACCACACGGTGTCAGCGTGACTATCAACACAAACGGACCATATCACGCTAGGCTCTTACCTGACCCGTGGATTCCATGGTCATGTTGGTCTTGTTCCGTGACACGCTGGAGATAAATTATGACGCGAAAAGCCGTCCTGCAGGTTCTCATGAGTCCGCTGCACGATACGGGCTGGTGAAACAATATCCAGTGCCTATCATGGTGCCAGACAAGCAACTGCTCAAATTCTTGGCGCTCCATCTGTTAGTCATTAACCTTCATCAAGCATCCCAGCACTTCTGTAAATCTAGACATTCTCCATGATGATAAGTGTTGCCGTATGGAAAATCATAATCCAGTGAGCCTCGAAGACATACGCATTTCCATTGATATCTAAGCGATATGACATTCCAAAATCAAAGCGTTCGTGCCAGAAAATCAAAATTGTGCGCCTTTGAAAGTTCCATGGTGTAACCAAAAGGTGATTGTGATGCCTGGATAGCATTAAAAGTACTGGTATCTTTGACTCGGTCAGGGAATTCGTCGAAATACCAGGATTCGAAGCAAAGACGTACGAATCAATACCGTCACAGGAGGCAAGTCTAGGCTGGAGCGCCGCGCTGGATGAATATCGCTGGAACAAAGGAAGATACGAGGCACCAAGACCGATCGGAGTATAATCGGCCCGCCACTTAAATGAAGGTACACAGTTCTTGATTCTTTGTTCGAGCCATGTCTGCACGAATGATGTGAGCTAAGAGATGAAAAGTAACCAGGGTTTCTCACCGAAAATTCACGTGTCCGAGGGCATTGATCCTGGTGCCTAAGTTATCCTTGCCGGGAGGGCACAAAGAGCAGCACCAGAATGGCTTCTCTTTTGCTAGCTCGTCCAAACAATTTTCCCGTTTTGCTTCCTCGTTTCGTGCAAAACGTTTCTCATAATCTGTAGCTAATCTTATTGCGAGTGCAGAAGCATTCATTTCACGGGAAACGAGCATTTCAAGCTACTCAGAGTTAGCACAACTTGTCACCAAGAGTAGAACAAAAACATACCGCAGCGCGCCATGTTACCACCACGACATTGCCATTAAATGAGTAGGCGAACCTTTCATCTAATTCCTCCATGTCAAGTGTAGTGGTAGTGTCCGGATCTTTATCGCACAACCGAACCAATTCGCGGACTTCCTCGAAGTTGGGCGAAAAGTCGAGATTGGCGCATGACCATGGGGGTGGACTCGCTTGGCCATCAAGAAAAACATTCCATCGAACATCGGAATCCTCGGCTTCGGTGCGCAGACACAGATGGGCGAGGACGAAAGGATAATACAGTATCTGTGCACACTTTCGACACTTGTAGGAGACTACGGCCAGAGCGAGAGCATCTACACCTTGCTCACAGGAGATGGGAAGCAAGCGCTCTAGTTCACATTCAGCCGTTTCATGCCAATCCATCAAATGGCTTGTGACTTCGTCCTTTAAGGCAAGGAACCTCTCTTCAGTAATTAAGTCCGTTGTGGGGGCCTTAACGAGCTCTTGGATTCCCGAAATGAATGGTAGATCGTGTGGTAACAATCCGTATGCGGAGGGCGCTGTCCAAGGGGAGGTTGAGAGCAGTTGGTTAGCGATACGATCTAGCGTGTTTATCCGTGACGAAATGGTGCAGCGTCGCTCCATTCGGAGCCGCATATCCCGCTTCTCTTGCATAAAATTGTGCAGTGCGCTACGGATTTTCCTCCACCCTGCGGTACAACGGCAGAGGGATTTGGTTAGTTGACCTACGTCGATAGATTCAAGCAAGACCACATCGCACGAACCTTGATCCGTAAGCGGCCTTGGAATCCACACCAGCTCACGCACTGGTGAGCGACGAAAGGTCCACATACCACCCAACTCATCACCCCAACCCTCCTCACGCAATCTTGACATTATGCTGTCGCGACGACACATCAGACCCGGATAAGCGTTGATGACATGACACTCACGCTTTACAGCGTTCACGCCTGATTTCATCTAATTTCTCCGCTCGCAATTTGGTCTGATCGTACTGCCATTTTCGACATGCCGCTGCGTGCTATATAAGCCAGATATCAGACCACGATGACGCAAAAGTGAAGACTTCGGAGTCTTGCATCTGTTAATTGTCTCGTTTTCTCTGACTCCTTGTCGATCAGTGACTGGTATGCCTGCTCATCCTGCGACACAGCGTTCCAAGCGTCCATAAAGCCTAGAAGTTGCGGCACATGGTAGAACCTCCTGCGAGACTGACTGTACCGGATCTACGAGAGATGAGAATACAAGTAATGATGGACGTGATTGAGCGCTATACCGTAGCGAAGATCTTCGATGGGGGGACCTCTCCCACTGCTGTCGATATATCTATACTAAAATCGCGCTCATCGATGGTGCTAGTTTTTTATGATATCAGAGTGATGCATCATATGCGTCGATGAGGCATGCCTTACGTGGTTTTCCTGCATCTCTGACAGTATCGCGCAGCGAACTCCCACAGCGCCGAGTTGTTGTTGCCTTTCAAGCATTTCTGGAGGAGTCAATGAGGCATTACTACCAAACGCACACGGTGTGAAACGTACGTGACAGTGAGAAAAGAACATTAGGTTGGCATAAGCTGGTTCGCTTAGATGCTGCGGGCAGTCCGGTAGTCCATCAACCTGTGTCCGTGAAGCTCTCCAGATGAAAGCAGATCTTCGGGTCATCAGGAATGCACGTAGTGGCCTGGTAGTCCTTGCCGAATTCAGAAGGTCTTTGGGATGAAGTAGCACGAAAACCTATATGAATAACGGTGCGACTGGTCATTCAGGACCCGGAGTTTAGAATCCAAGCATGCTAATACCTCAAACAGAATGTCATCGGGCATCTCTGGTAGATCTTTCAAGCCACCTCGCTTGCCTCGTAGTGCACGCCGAGGGACAAGCTGATGGGTAGAATTCTTGTCCATCTCGCCACTCGCTGGTGTGCCGCTGCTCGTTTTCATCCGCTCTGACCGAAGGACAATGGTCGGGGTGCTCTAGAAGGACCAAGGAGAGAGGAGGGTCGAAACGACGGCACGCTTACCAGGGGCGGCGATATATGAGCTGCATCGTGACCGCGGGCCACAGTGGCGTCCTGGTGCTACGCCACCACGTGTTGATGTATGCGCTTGTGGCTGAGCGCGGAGTGGGCTGTGGCGGCGTTGAGGCGCTGCTTGGATGCCTACTAGCATCGAGATATCCAACCAACTCGACCACAGTACGTGGCTCTTGTACAGCAGATTGCGATGACAGTGAGACCCACTTGTAATCCTCTCTCTCGGAATTTACTGGGCCGGATACCGCGTTGGCAGTCCGTGCCCTTCCAGCTTCCCCAGTGGTCCCATGAGAGTGCGTATGAGTGTTGTAAACGGGTGGGAAAATGGCTACCTACTAGGTACGTATTTTATCCCACCTTCTGCTGCTGTTCCCGGTGCATAACTGATCCATTCCATCTCCAGGTACCGCTTCCGACGTGTTTCACCACGGCGCAACATTTGCGCCTAGCACGCCAAGCGCGTACCCAAGCGCATCTCTCAGGACGTAGGGGAAGACCGTGATGCTGACATTTCCATCCTCACTACAAATATAACAAGACATCTTCACACAGCAAAGCGTGATTGATGGCGGCCAGTTTTGATCCATCCGATTTAATCATACATGCGCACTCCCTTGTTCTCCAGGCACGACATAAGCACAGAAATTTCACTGACGAGCCTTGCGAGATGAGCCTGTATCTGAGAATAGCAGGATCGAACAAGTTTCTCGCACAACTCTGATGCCCTTGCTGAGGTTGCGTTGATGGTGCCGCTTCCTGCGCATCAGCGATGACCGCAGAATCAGCCATGAGAGGGGCCGCGGTATGAAGGCTCTACCACCTGGATGGTAATACATGTCGTCTTTGTCCGGACTTGCTTTCTAAATGAAACGCCTGCAAAGGCAATATATGAATATATGAACAAAGACACGATCGATATAGTAAATGGACGGACGTCTGTGAAGGACAGTTGAACGTGAATCCGGCTTCTCAGACAGCAGCGGAAGGTACAGACCTCAAGCAACATACCCAGCGGCATTGTTGGCATGTCGCTGGTGAGCCACATGCTGAGCTGTTGGTGCAGGCTGCACGTCTGTGCTCGGAGTCTCAGCAACCTTGGTGACGCTGAATCTCTTTCGGAAGTTGGCATACGTCAAGATAGATGTTGAAAACGCGCAAGGTTAGTGTATCAATTACAGGAGGTCAATCCGAATAATGTTCGACGTCGTGGACAAGTTGCATGATGCGCGAGGCGCCCGAGCCGACGCGTCTGTGGCGCACCAACACGTGACCTGAGCTTGAATGTACGTCTGGTGGCTCGTAGCACGTGTTGCTGTGGATGTTACCGATGAATTCGGCGGTGATTGATGATTAAGAAAATGCATTACGGCCTTCTCAGCATAGCCAAGCATCCAAACCAAACTCACAACACACAGTCGGCTGCAGCAAACTGATCCTTATCGTAGTCACACCAGAATACTTTTGAGCCCTCAGGCCCCAGCCCAAGCCGTCGCATTTTGAACGCGTTATCCAACTACATGACTACGAATACACAACAACACCTCTCATACAACGATCTCGACCGCTCCACAAAGCATCCCTCAGTCCAGCTCATCGAGCTCGCCACGCCTGAGGAACTTGAGCACGGAGCCGACGTCAGATGCGACCTCACCGGCGACGTGACCGACCTTCTTCCAGTTGATCGCCTCGCTGTCCTCAGGGACCTCGCGCGCAACCGCGAAACGTCCATTCGGGACGACGACCCCAATTCTGGGGCGCCATGCAAGCGCCTCGCTGTCCGAGCGAGCGAGCAGCTCCTCGTTGAGGTCGCGCTTGAGGAAGCTGAGTACAGTCTTTGCGACACTGCCCCAGTTGATCGCCTCGCTGTCCTCAGGTGTGGCACGAGCCATGAGCTCGTCCTCGAAAGCACGCGCGAGCATCGGGTCCTCACGCTTGAGGAACTTTAGGACGGAGCCGACATCAGAGGCAACCTCGCCCGCAACGTGGCCGACCTTCTTCCAGTTAACTGCCTCGCTCTCCTCGGGAACCTCTCGGGCAAATTTGAACCGGTACGGAAAGTTGTCAGGGATCTTCGAGATGGGCCGGAAGTTGATAGCCTCGCTCTCTCCGCGCGCCATGAGCTCGTCCTCGAAGGAGCGTGCGAGTAAGGGATCCTCACGCTTGAGGAAGCTGAGTACGGTCTTCGCGACACTGCCCCAGTTGATCGCCTCGCTGTCCTCAGGGGTGGCACGAGCCATGAGCTCGTCCTCGAAGGCGCGCGCAAGCATCGGGTCCTCGCGCTTGAGGAACTTGAGCACGGAGCCGACATCAGAGGCGACCTCGCCCGCAACGTGACCGACCTTTTTCCAGTTGATCGCCTCGCTGGCCTCCGGGACATCACGCGCAACCGGCCAGCGCCCGTTGGGAAGGACGACACCGATCCTGGGGTGCCACGCAATCGCCTCGCTATCGTCACGAGCGAGCAGCTCGCCGTCGAGATCGCGCTTGAGGAAGCCCAGCACGGTGCTGGCAACTTTGCCCCAGTTGATAGCCTCGCTGTTGGCAGGTACATCCCGCGCCATGAGCTCATCCTC